TGTATCTGTGGGGCTTCTGGAGACTGGCTGCTGCTCCCCCTCTGCGTGTGGTTAGGCTTGTTAAATGCTGCCTGGGACTCTGAGACCGAGCTCCGGGATTCTGTGCTGGGAATTGAACGTCCTGGTGTTGGGCTTGACCTAAGGCTCCCCCAGCCACTGTGTGACCCATGCTGGTTTTAAATATTTCTATTCCCCCTGGGCCCTCCCTGGTGGTGCAAGGGGTTCAGCACCGCACTATGAAGCAGGCCGCAGCCTCTGCAGCATGAGTTCGATCCCGGGCAGGTCAGGGAGCAGCCCACATGGCCCAGCAGACCTCTCCTGTCTCCCCTACTCCCCTCAGCAGTGGATTTCAGTCAGTCTGCCTGGTCTGCTCCCCGCTCTGTCTGTAGTGAATCCTGGAACCCCCGCATCTCTGGCCTGTACCCCAGCGCTTGTGTGCATAAATAAATAAATCTTTAAAAAAAAATTTCTATTCCCCAGTCTCCCAGAGTAAGCCCCGCTGCTGCTGGTCCTGGAGCCCCGGCCACCTGTCCACGCGCCTCTTTCTCCCTCTCCCGCGCCCTTGCGCCCTGCACCCCAGCGCCAGAGCAGCGGCTGCTCCCCGAGAGCCGGGCCGGCCGCGGAGCGGGGACGGGGCTCGAGCGCCCCCTGCTGGCGGCGCGGGGCCTCTCCCGGGGCGGGCGGGGTCCGGGCGCCCCGCGGCTGTGGGAGGAGCCGGGGGGCCGAGGGCGCAGAGTCCGCCCCGGGACGGGCCCCGCTGCCGCCTCCCGGCCGGGCTCGGACGCGAGCTCCTGCGGGGCTGCGGGGGCGCCCCTGGCCCCCGAGGCCCGACGGACGCCGCTCCCCGGCTGGGGGTGTCCGGGGCGGACCCCGGGCCGGGAGGCGTGAGGGGGCGCCGGGCCCGGGACCCCGCCTCGCGGACGGGCCGGGTTCTGGCCCAGACCCGGCCTGGCCGCCTCCAGAGCCCGAGCCGCGCCCCGCGGGAGAGGCCGGGCCGGGCCTGCACCCCAGGACCCCTCCCGGGCCCGTCTGAGTCCCGGCCGCGCCACCTGCACGTCGTGGGGTATTTCCAGGGGTTGGAAACGGAACATCCCCCGACAGCGCTGAACTTCCTAGTAACAAGGTCCTGCGTCAAATTTGTATTTTTTTCAGAGTCACAGGAGAAACGTTTCACTCTTTTTCCCAGCGACTCTCCGGTGCTGCCGATGCCTGCGGGTTTGCTCTGCCCGGCCCGGCCGCCTCCTCGGGCACCGGCAGCTTCTCGGCTCACTCGCCACCCCCGGCACCTGCGCCTGGACAGACCTGCCGCGTCCTGCGGTTCTGTTCCAAACCACCTGTGTTTTCCCTGAACCCCATCTTGCTCCACAGGCGTCTACAGATGCCGGAACTGACTTTTTGAAAGTCCATTTTAGAGATCGGACTCGAGGACACACGACCAATTAATTTTTTCTTTTAACACCTAAAACTTCTGGACGAATGATGTGTTGGGTGGGGTGGGAGGGGGGTCGTTTAATGAGACTGACAGCCGAGGCCCTCTCGTCACCCCGCAGGCAGGTTGGGAGGCCCACCTAGATAAGGGAACTGATAAGGTTGCCACGGAAACCAGCCAGAAGCCCCACCACCCTGACCAGAGACAGCATCCCGGCCCCTGAGACCAGACGTCCCCGCAGGTAACTGGCTCCCCAAAGCAGTGTAGGAGAGCGCCCCGAGGCTGCCTTCCTCTAGGCCTCTCCCGCCTCGCCCTGCTCCCTGGCAGGGAATTTCAATAAATCCTCCGTTTCTCCCCTCTGCTCAGGGGAACCCTTCACCTGGCAGGCGAGCCTCGCCGTGACCCCACCGCAGGACAGAGTCAAGGGGCGTCTCCGCCCAGCCACCACACCTGTAGCTCCAGTTTAAGCCAAAGGAAAATTAGCATTGAGGACTTTTTGGTTATGGCCTTTGCCCATATTCCGCTGCAGAGAAGCGTGTGGAGTCATCAGCTCTTCCAGGTACGAACGTGTCACCATCTGACAAGACTGTGAGGATGTGGATGGAGACAGACGCCAAGGGCGCGGCGTGGGCAGCACCGCACTGAGGACACGCGCGTGCAGCAGGCTCCGTAGTGCAGGTGCTGCTGCAGCGCAAGAGCCTGGCCCTTTGGTTGAGAACAATCGTGCAGCAGCGGTTGTGAGGGGACGGAGGACACGGAGAAAGGGGAGGGTCAGACCAGAGAACTGCCCGGCAGCTGTGGTGCGGGGCTGAGTCTGCCCTGCAGGCGCCTGCGTCTGCCTGAGGACTCGGCGTGGGGAGTGGGCTCGGCTCGGGATCCCAGCCCGGTCTCCATCGGATCGGCAAGGCGCCGGCTGGTGAGCTTCTGGGTCCGGTGTCAGCCCGGTCCTCAGCCCGGTGCCCCCAGCCAGCACCGCCTCCCGAGGGCGGCCTTCCCTTGGACGTCAAGCTCCAGGGGGACCTGCATGAGCTCCGAGGGACCTGCGCAAGCTCCGGGGGCACCTGTGTGAGCTCCGGGGGCACCTACGCAAGCTCCGGGGGGACCTGCGCAAGCTCCGGGGGCACCTGCGTGAGCTCCGGGGGACCTGCATGAGCTCCAGAGGGACCTGCGTGGGCTCCTGGGGACCTGCATGAGCTCCAGAGGGACCTGCGTGAGCTCTGGGGGGACCTGTGTGAGCTCCGGGGGCACCTGCATGAGCTCCGGGGGACCTGCATGCACTCCGGGGGACCTGCGTGAGCTCCGGGGGCACCTGCATGAGCTCCGGGGGACCTGCGTGAGCTCTGGGGGACCTGCATGCGCTCCGGGGGAACTGTGTGAGCTCCTGGGGCACCTGCATGAGCTCCGGGGGACCTGCATGAGCTCCGGGGGCACCTGCATGTGCTCCGGGGGACCTACATGAGCTCCAGGGGACCTGCATGTGCTCCGGGGGACCTGCATGAGCTCCGGGGGCACCTGCATGAGCTCCGGGGGACCTGCATGAGCTCCGGGGGACCTGCATGAGCTCTGGGGGACCTGCGTGAGCTCTGGGGGCACCTGCATGAGCTCCAGGGGGACCTGCGTGAGCTCCGGGGGACCTGCATGAGCTTCAGAGGGACCTGCGTGAGCTCTGGGGGCCCTGTGTGAGCTCCGGGGGGGACCTGCGTGAGCTCCGGGGGCCCTGCGTGAGCTCCGGGGGCCCTGCGTGAGCTCCGGCGGCACCTGCATGAGCTCTGGGGGACCTGCATGCGCTCCGGGGGACCTGCGTTAGCTCCGGGGGACCTGCATGAGCTTCAGAGGGACCTGCGTGAGCTCCGGGGGCCCTGCGTGAGCTCCGGGGGCCCTGCGTGAGCTCCGGGGGCACCTGCATGAGCTCTGGGGGACCTGCATGCGCTCCGGGGGACCTGCGTGAGCTCCGGGGGACCTGCATGAGCTTCAGAGGGACCTGCGTGAGCTCTGGGGGCCCTGCGTGAGCTCCGGGGGCCCTGCGTGAGCTCTGGGGGCCCTGCATGAGCTCCGGGGGACCTGCGTGAGCTCTGGGGGCACCTGCATGAGCTCCAGGGGGACCTGCGTGAGCTCCGGGGGACCTGCATGAGCTTCAGAGGGACCTGCGTGAGCTCTGGGGGCCCTGCGTGAGCTCCGGGGGGGACCTGCGTGAGCTCCGGGGGCCCTGCGTGAGCTCCGGGGGCACCTGCATGAGCTCTGGGGGACCTGCGTGAGCTCCGGGGGACCTGCGTGAGCTTCAGAGGGACCTGCGTGAGCTCCGGGGGCCCTGCGTGAGCTCCGGGGGCACCTGCATGAGCTCTGGGGGACCTGCATGCGCTCCGGGGGACCTGCGTGAGCTCCGGGGGACCTGCATGAGCTTCAGAGGGACCTGCGTGAGCTCTGGGGGCCCTGCGTGAGCTCCGGGGGCCCTGCGTGAGCTCTGGGGGACCTGCATGCGCTCCGGGGGACCTGTGTGAGCTCTGGGGGACCTGCATGCGCTCCGGGGGACCTGCGTGAGCTCCAGAGGGACCTGCGTGAGCTCCGGGGGACCTGCAGGCGCTCGCGAGCCCCGGGCTGACTCGCTGGCCCGGCAGAACGGCGGCGGCCGGTTGCAGGCCGCGTCCCCGTCTGTCCGGGACGAGCAGGCCCGGAGGAGGGAGAGCGGGAGCCGTCTTGTCTGGAAGTGTGGCAGTTTGCGGGAAGCCACCTCCGGTGCAGCGCTGACTCATTAGAAGACAAACCAGCGAATGAAATAATTTATGATTTATTTAAAATACACATCGTTATAAATTCCAGGACTGGGGGCTTCGCGGGCGAGCGGCTCCCCGGGGTGGGGGGAGGCTGCGGAGCCCGGGCCGGCCCAGCGCGGACCCTGAGGCTGCGGGAGACCCGCGGGGTCCGCCCGGGGCGAGGCTGGCGGCGCTGGGGGCGGGGCCAACGCGCGGTGGGCGGGGCGGGCTCGCGGGGCGGGGGCAGCGGGTGGTGGGCGGGGCGGGGGCAGCGGGTGGTGGGCGGGGCGGGGGCAGCGGGTGGTGGGCGGGGCGGGGCTAGCGGGTGGTGGGCGGGGCGGGGCCAGCGGGTGGTGGGCGGGGCGGGGCTAGCGTGGTGGGCGGGGCGGGCCCGGGATTGGGAGCCGGGGGCGGGGCCGCGGCGCGCGGTCGGCGCGGCGCGGGCGCGGCGGGTGAGGCGCGGGGCGCGGGCCGGAGGGTCTGGGGGCGGCGGCGGCGCGGCCGGCGGGTGCGCGCGGAGCCGAGGCCGGGGGCGCGGGCTCCGGCGGGCGCCGCGGGGCCGGGCGGGCGGGCGGGCGGGCGGGCCGCAGGCCTCCGGGGCGGCCGCGCGCGGGAGGCCCGGCCGGCGTGGGCCACAGGCCGCGGCCGGCTACGGGGCCGCGCGGGGCGGGCGCCGGGGGGACGGCGCGCGGGGGCCGCCGGCGCACCCCGGTCAGCGCCCGGGCCGGGGGGGTTTGGGGGGCCCTCGCCTCCCGCGGGATTTGACCGGGGCGCCGCGTTCTGCCGCGGCGGTGCAGGCCCGACCTCGGCCTGGCTTTCGGCCCCTGTGAAGGGGAGGTGACCCCTGACCCCTCAGGCCGGGCCAGCACCCTGTCCGCCTGGAGGGGACCCCTGCGGAGGGGCGGGACCTGGACCCGGAAGCCCCGCGGGTTTGCGAGGGAGGAAGCCGGGGTGTCCCGGAGCCGGAGTGAGGCCCCAGACTGTGCACAGGGGGTCCCCCCATGTTAGCGGGTGCCTTGCAGACTTGCAGCCCCGATGCAGCATTTATGCCGTCAGTTCTTGAGGGACGGGATGGGGACTTGCAGAACTGGGAGGTCACCTGTGGCAGGTCCCAGGTGCTGCCCGAACCCTTCCCCTGCCCCTCGCTAGATGCGCTGCTGCAGCTGTTACTCGGGGCGGGAGTGAGCCCCCGCCCCCCGCGCGCACAGGGAAGGGGGGGGTTTGCTCTTGCTCGCTCTGGCGCAGCACTGTCACCTGGGCGCGTGGTGCCACCTTGTCTGGGTGTCGGGTGTATGGCTGAGGTACTGATGGCTGGTGGGGGCGCAGCCGGGCATACCCAGACTGTGGGTGGGAGGGAGACTGGGCTCGCCTGGGCTGGATTCCTGCCTCAGAGCAGTCGCTCATTCCTGGAGGACCTTCAGGTACCTGTTCCCCTCTCCCAGGTAGAAGGTGCAGCTTGCACACCTTATCTTTGAACCACCTTAGCTGGAAAGTCGTGGGTTAATTTCCCTGCCAGGTTAGGAATATGTGGTATTTAATGGCCTGGACGGCAGGTGTCCCTGTTTATGCTGCTGGGTGAGTGAAGATTTGACAGATAAAAGCAGTGGCTGAAATCACCCAAGTGTGCTCGGAGGCTTGTGGCCACAGGGTCCGGTGCTGGGGTTGAGGAGACAGCCGGGGGCCGGACCCTGCCCAAAAACCGCAGCTCAGCCCTGCTCGTTCCTGGCGGGATGGTCACAGCTCTGCTCAGAATCACGCGGGACTCCTGTGCCGGGCAGAAATAATAGCTCTGTAACCGTGTTATGTGGGTACACAGCACCCCTGGGGTCCTGGGACTCCCAGCCAGAGTTCTCAGCCAGGTTTCCGCAGGACCCCGCCTCCCCGGCTTCTCAGGGCTGTTTAAGCTGAGGGCGCCCTGTGGTGGAGTCTGGCTTGTCAGTGGAAGGGAGGGGAGAGGCAGGCCTGGTGTCTGCTCCGTGTTCTCCCCTGGCGGGTCACGGAGCCTGTCTCTGTACTAGTGGGAGAGACTGGAAGCGAGAAAGTGCTCTGGGGGAGGCTGGAAGCTTCTTCTGGCCTCGCCGGGCTCTTCCTGGACTCACTCCGTCTCCTAGCGGCTGTGTTTGGCGTGTGTGGGCTTGTGGCCGAGACTCAGGAGGTGACATCTGTGCTGGGATCCCTCGAGCGACCCCTTCCTCTGTGGTGACTCTCCAGGAGGCTTAGGAATAAAAAAGTAAATCAAGAAAGTTTTCCTGCTGGTGTGTCAGGGTGGGGGGGAGTCATCAGACTGGCCTGCCCTTGGGTATGATTTGTGTACACTTGCATTAAAAAAGGGGGGGATCCGCGGAAGGGCGGTCTGTGCCGGTCACTTCCTGGACGACAGGCCGCGGGGGTGGAGCACCCTTTAAGAGCCGCGCCCCTCCCAGCCTCCCTGCACTCTGCTCCCTGCGTCCCAGACTCCAGGCTCTGCTGCTGTGCAACCATGTCGGCCCTCACTGCCGTGTTTAAGTACGTGGATGAGAACCAGGATCGCTACATCAAGGTGAGCAGTTTGCTCTGATCGTACCTGGCACAGAAACTTTCAGGAAGCTCCTATGACTCGTGCTGTTTAAATCCAGACTGAAAAATACCTTGGAGGCAGAGAAAGACAAACGCTTACTGACAGAATGCGTGAGCTCACTCTTGTGGGGGATGTAAGAAGAGCACAGAGGGTGTAGGGCTGCAAGTGCCGCCGGGGTGGGGATCGTGGGGAGATGCGGCCATGAGGTGCAAATTTGCAGGTAGAAGGTGGAGACGCTCTTGGGGTGCGACCCCAGGTGGGACTGCAGGTGGCACACTGTACCGAGTGCCTGAGAGTTGCAAAGGGCGTATTCTCTCCACACGAGAAAAAAGGTGACTAAGAGAAATTACATGGACAGAGTCTAGAGGGCTCCTCTGCCTTCTCGTGAGATGTGTGAGCTACACGTTTGGCCTTTTTTTTTTTTTTTTTTGAAAAATTTTTTTTTTTTTAAGATTTTATTTATTTATTAATTTATACAAGAACTGGGGTACAGGCCAGATGTGCAGGAGGGTGAGAGGATTCACCAGAGACAGAGTGGGGAAGAGAACAGGCAGACTGACTGAAACACACTGCTGAGGGGAGCAGCGGGTGAGACAGGAGAGTCTGCCGCGCCATGTGGGACCCTCGCCAGCCGCCCAGGATCGAACTGGCTCTGCAGGGGCTGCGGACAGCTTCACAGCACGGCGCTCGACCGCCTGCGCCACCAGGGGAGGCCCTACACGTTTGGGTTTTGATAGAAAGTCTTAATATATGTTTCTAGAAAAACAAAGCTGTTTGGAGATTTTTTGTTTACTCTCCACCCACAATTTCTAGTGGTAATACTTCTTAAAGATTGCTTTTGCATTTATTGAGCATGTCTTAAATGATTAGGTGATGTTATGTTACTCCCTTCTGGATGTCACCTTGGAGAACCACGCTTTAAACTGCCTCTTGGTAGGCGCAGTTCCAGTGAGAGTCCTTATTCTGAAAGTTACACTTTAGAGAACTTGGCCACACTCAGGACAAGTGAGCCAAGTTGGACCGTGGAAACGTTGCGTGTTTTCTGTGTCTTTGGGTTCTGATTTTGTTGGATCCAGGCAGAAACTTATTTATGGAACTGTCATCTTACCTGCAGCTCATACTTAATGGTCAAAGATAGACCTTCTCACATCTTCCTGTGCCGCTGCAGTTCTCGGGACAGTCTCAGTGCAGGCAGAATTTAAAATCTTAAACAAAATGCAGGCTCGCGGCTCTCCTTCCGGAGGCTGGTCACGCTCAGGGTGCGGTCCCCATGGCCGCTGGCACCTGAAACCAGCAGCGGTGAGCACCTCGTCCAGGGGCGCCTCTTCTGAATCCCTCTTTGCTTGTCCACACACAGAAGCTTGCAGAATGGGTCGCCATCCAGAGTGTGTCCGCGTGGCCAGACAAGCGAGACGAGATCAGGAAGATGATGGAGGTGGCGGCCAAGGACATCCAGCGGCTGGGCGGCTCCGTGGAGCTGGTGGACATCGGGAAACAGAAGGTACGAGTCCTGGGCCTTGTGGGTGTCACGTCGGACCCAGCCCAGCGGGAGGCGCTGGGACCCCACAGTGCTCGAGCCCTCTCCTCGCCCGGCCACCTGCTGTCTTTAGGACGCGGGAGGGAAAAGCCTGGTGTCCACACTGACCTCTGAGTTCTCCCAAGAGGGTTTTGTGATGCTCAGCAGTTTTCTCCAGGAAGGGGCGCCTGCAGGGCTCCTCAAGATGACTTCAGGAAAGCCCTTTCCTAGAACTCAGCTGACTTCCCCAGCAGCAGCCGGTCAGCTGCCGGCCGGGAACGACGCCACTGTGCACAGGGTGAAGGCACCCCCAGCACTTTTTCTGACTTGGTTCCTAGAAGGGGGTCCTTTGGGGTTGGGGAGCTCAGTTGCATTTTGGGTGCAGGTTTTGGAAAGATGAGCTTGGTCTGTTTTCTTCCGATCTGAATGAACAGTCTCACTCATGGTTATTCCTCTGCCTCATGTCAGCCCGCAGTTGCTGGTCAGGTGCAGGCTCCCGGCTCGGTCCTGCACGGTGGCCACCCTGAGCGTGTCCTGCGCTCTTACTGTGAGGCTGGCCTGCTTCGCTTTATCTCGGCCTCTTGCCTGAGGATCTGAATGTTATGTGAAAGCCTTGCCCTGGGGCTTGAGGTGGGGACATTGAGCCCAGCTTTCCTTCTCATAAACAGAAGCCAGGCCTGAGCGGGTAGTTTCCGTGCCCAGCCAACCACTGTGGGCCCCTGGCAAAGAAGAGGAAGACCTCTGGCCGCCCACCCAGCACGGTGTGCTGGAGATTTCCCCCGACTCCAGCTGTGGTCACGGACGAGGTCGTACTCCCTGCTGGGGAGAATCAGCCAGATTTCTTCACGTTACTTCCCTCTAGGAGCTCAGCCCTCCCCACCCCACCCCATGTGGTGAGACTCTGGTGGCACGTCCGTCACCCTCCAGCCATCTCGTCACGACCACTGGATTTCTTCCGTTTCCACAGACATTTCAGTGCAGTTCTCAAGAACACCCTCCACAAGAGACTAAAGCAACTTCCGCATTTTAAATTGCGTAACATTTATGCTTACCGGGGATCAGCAGAGCTTGCTGTCACAAAGTTCTGCCAAGATTCTTGCCACACAGGAAGGGCCGGAAGACCTGCTCCTCCTGGACTGCTGTTCAGTTTTCAGGGGTGGGGCGGCCGGGGCCGGGTGTGGCACATGCACGTGGAGTGTCCAAGGGGCGACCTGGGCAGGTCCGTGTCCTGCTCGCCGGCTGGGGCCAGCTGGGTCCTGGTGGGCGAGGCAGAGAGACAGGCTCCGGTGGGGAAAGGTGGGCCTGGAGCCATTTGGTGTTGGGCCTCCCTGCCAAGGCCACTGCAGGAGATATCACACCCAGCCTGTGTCCGGCTGGCCACTGCCTGGGGCCATCGGGGTGAAGGGACACTGTCCAGTGGGCATGGGAGACCTGGGCCCCAAGGGCCTGACCTCCATTTAGAGACCCCTAGGAGATGGCACAGGTGTGGCTCCTGAGCCCTGGGCGGTGTAAGGGTGGACACGAACAGTGTGCCTGAAGTCAGGTCCTCGGGGCGGGGGCCTGGGCATGGGGTGGAAATGAGGGAGAAAGGTGGGACCCTTGTCAGGCACTCCTACCCAGACGGGTGCCCTGCTTCTGCTTCTCCAGACTTTGTTCTGGAATGTTCGGAGTACTTAGCGACACCCTGACTGAAATTTGCGGTATGAATTTAGTGTGATTTTCCATGAACCCAATCGGCTTCTTAGAAAGATGCCAAAGTATTTCAGGGACTCTGTGTTAAGTAGAAATTTACGTGTGAAATCTGTTGTCCTTTAAAAGTCACTTTCTTACTGAGGCCGGCTGAGGGCCAGCTGCCCCCACAGTGCCGCCCGTCACGTGAGACCAGGGCCGTGGACACGCTCAGGCCCCAGTGGGTGGCCTTGGGGCCAGGGCTGAGCACGGTAGGGAGCGACCGAGAGCCACCTGCTTAGGCATTTATGAGCGGGCTTTACTGAACACCAGCCCTGCCCACAGGAATTCCAGCAGGCCCCTAATGTCCATGTCCACTCAGGGACCCCCCAGGACCTGGGGTTGTGGAAGGACACCTCATCCTCATCCCAACTCGCTGTCCATTTCACCCCTTAACTGTCAATCATTACTTAGCTTCATTACCAATTCAGTGTGTGTTTCCAACGCTGTTACCACTTGCATGCATGGAAAAGCTTTTGAGCATTTCCAGGCCTAAAAATGAGCTGCCAAGTCACACCTGGTTCCAGGAATAGCGTCCAACTTCCGGCCAGGGGGCACCTGTGCCACCCTCGCCACATGTTTCTGGGCCTCTTCTGCGCCAAGGCCCTCTCCGTGCATGACTGTAACCTGCCTACGAATTTCAAAAACAACCTCCTGCTTTGGGATAATAGTAGATTTAAGCCAGTATCTTAGAAAACAGTGGAATAAGCTGCGTGATAAACTCCGCCTTCTTGGTACATCTTGTTATATAAAAGTTAAAAAACAGCCTTTGAAAACTTACTAAACTGTAGTTGGTAGACGACTCGGCCTTCGAGCTCTGGATCATTGAGAAGGAAACCCTTGCCTTGCTGTCGAATGCCTCTGTGGCGCACACAGTCTCAGGCACTGCAGCGGCGGGGGACCGAGGAGGAGACACGCGGGTGCAGCGTGTGGTGCTAGCACTGCCGTCTCCCCAGGTGTGTAACGCTGCTCCCTCTCGCTCCTAGCTCCCTGATGGCTCCGAGATCCCGCTGCCGCCCATCCTGCTCGCTAGACTGGGCTCTGACCCCAAGAAGAAGACCGTGTGCGTTTATGGGCACCTGGACGTGCAGCCCGCGGCCCTGGAGGACGGCTGGGACAGCGAGCCCTTCACCCTGGAGGAGCGCGAGGGTAGGGGCGGGCGCCCGGGGTCTCGGGCATCCAGAGAGCCGTGTGCCGTCCTGTTCCAGGGAGAGCGCTGGCCTCTCCTGGCTGGCCTCTGTCCAGAACAGTTTGTTTCTCCTTAATCTAGAAATTGGGTTCTGGAAGTTTCCAGGTGTGCAGCAGGTGGCTGACACTGGGCAGCCTCCCCTGCTTGGCAGAAGCAGGTCCCTGCAGCCTGGATCACTGGGCTTCCAGCTGGGGCAGTACCGACGCAGACTCGGGGCCCTCTCCCGCCACCCCCACCCCCCCACCTCCCATGCATCCCTGCTGTGGGGGTGGTCCCCAGCTCCCCACGGACTGCTGGGAAGCGAGTCTCTCCCCGCCAAGCACACCCCCCCTCCTGGCTGCTGCGTGCTCCCGCATAGCACAGGACCCACCCTCCCGCCCTGCCTCAGTCCTCCCGTTTCTCACCTGCCCAGCCCTGTGTGCGCACCTTGCTCCCGGGCCACGTCCAGTTGCCTCTGCTGAAGGCCCTTCTAACCAGAGGTGCAGCCTCTGTTCTGGCCTCTGCCTGGCCCGGGTCAGCTGAGGTGTTTGCTCTTGGCCAGCAGAGAAGCCTTTGGCTGAGCCACGCAGGGTCGGGGTGTGGCCGTCCCGAGATGTGGCCACTGCGTGTGCCTGGGGCTCCTGGTCCACACAGTCCACACAGGGTCCATGTCTCCACCTCTGGCCCACCCCACCCCCTCCCCCCCTCCACTACCTGCATCAGAAACTCGGGTATCCTGCCCCCCCATGCCTTCCCTCGGCCCCTGGTCTTCCCCGCTGAAGGCCTCAGGCTTGTTGGGGTCCTGTGTCCTGCTCGCTGCTTCCCTCCTGCCCCACAGACATCAGCCAACAGCAGAGACGGGCGGGGGGCTCCATGGTGCTCCCCTCTTCCCCAGAGGGGCTGTGCTTCCTGACCGCCCCCACCTGAGCCCCGCACACTGCCCATGGGCTGGTTCTCTCGGGCCTCCCCACCACGCAGACACACAGACAGACACCTTCAGTGGACGTGGGGGCTCGGGGACGCTGGGCTCCCTGCTGGCACCACGTGCCCGGGGAAGCGTCCCCGCACACGTCCCAGGCCTGCGGCCGTCGCCCAGGCGCCCTGCCCTGAGGGGCACCCACCCGCACCTCCGTGCACCCGCCTGCACCTCATTCAGCCAGTCTTTGCCACAGCCAGGGGCTCTCAGCAGAGGAGCTGTGACCCTCTGAGAGTCAGTTTCGTTCCCAGGGTGATGTCAGCTCTGGCCTCCCACGGCCCGGTGGCTCTCGAAACCCTCAGCACTTGGAACAAAGAATGAGGAAGTGAAGTGGGGACCAGCCTGGCTGGCTGAGGGGGTGCTGGGCCAGGCCGACATCCTTCCCTCGCCCTGCTGTCCCTCGGGCCCAGCCCTAGGGCTCAGGACAGGGCTGGACGGGGCACAGGAGCCTGGGCTTGTAGGTCGCCCCCTCCCCGCTGTGCCCACGCAGCCGGCAGCCCCTGTGCTCAGGAGGTGCTGGGCCAGGCACGCCGAGCAGCAGCAGCCCAGCCTGGAGAAATGAGTAGCAACAGACATAGGTTCTGCTCATCAAATTAGGCAACAGAATTGCTGGGGCGGGGGACTTGGAGCCCCCTTGTGATGATGATGACTGGGCCTCCCCAGCCGGGGCTGCTTTCCTGGGCTCGGCTCTGGGGGTGAGCCCGGCCTCGGCAGGAAGGGGGAACGGCGGTCAGCTAGAGGTGGGGGACCCGGAGCGCACAGTCTCTGGATACTTCCAGCAATAGAATTAGTGCTGAGAGGCTGAGGTGCTTGCCGGGGACACACCGTTCTGCCCCCCAATCGTGACGGGCGGCCTGCCGGTTGCTGTTGCAGGGAAGCTGTACGGGAGAGGAGCGACCGACGACAAGGGGCCGGTGGCCGGCTGGCTGAATGCCCTGGAAGCCTTCCAGAAAACAAACCAGGTACGGGCCACTGCCTACCCTGACTGCCCGAGCCACCTGGCTTGTCAGGACGCAGGCTGGGTCTGCTGCTCCCAGGGCAGCTTGTAAAGGCCAAAGGTCACGCTGTCAGAGGCAGCGGCATCCCCAAAGCTGTGTTAGCACATTCACTGAGATGTCAGACCGATCAGAAGTTGTTTTCCAGCTTCAGGAAGCAGCACGTGTCGGTGCTTTACAGCTGCTCAAAGGTCGGCACCCGGCGACTGAGCAGGAGCCACCCGAAAGGAGACCTGGGCGCTGGCCTCACCTGTGCGCTCACCTGTCGGGCCTCGTGACCCAGACAGGCTCCTCACTTTCTCTGCACAGTTTTTATCCACCAAAAACCAAGTTTTATTTTTAAAAATATATTCCTCAGCTGTGAAATACCTGCTCCTTAGCAGAACTTTGTCAACTACAGACAAAGGGTCTCTGGTCCTGCGAGACTTGCCCTCTCGCCACGTCTCCAGCTGCCAGCCTTGTTGCCATCACGAGCGTTGATGAGCTGGCCCGCGCTCGCGTCTTCTGCCGCGGTGAAAGGAATAAGCAAGCCTTTTTGTCACAGTCTGGTGGGGTGCAGGGCCTCTGGGCCAGCAGTGCTGAGCCCAGACCTGACTGTCGCAGGGGCCGCGAAGGGTCGCCCTTCTCCAGGGCCCGTGGGGTGCTCAGCCTCGGCATGTGCGGTCAGAACCTCCCAGGGCAGCCCCACCTGCCCCTGCTGCACGTCCCGCGTGCCCGGCAGGAACGTGAGTGGGTGTCCTCTGGGGCAGTTCTGAGCCAGGGCTTGGTAGATTTCAGTCTCCTCTGGGGCCCTGATTCCAAAGCCACCTGGTTCAGGGTCATTTCCCATCTGCGGAAGGGGCTGCCCACCTCACCATGCAGCAGGGAGCAACCTAGGGGGCAGCGAGGCCAGCTCTGGAGAGGAGCCTTGAGTGCGTGGGGTGGAGGCGGCTCTGCAGGGTTAAGAGGGCCGCCCTCCCTCCCATGTGCTGGGCCCCCGCCGGGGAAGCAGACTGTTCCTGGGCCCAGCCTTTCCTTTAGAGAGAGCAGCTCCAGCTGCTGGGGTGAGTGCGGGGACCCCGGGGTAGGCGGGAGCGGTCCTTGGGCTGTGGAATTCCTGGATGGAGTCCACTGAGCCAAGTGTCACTTCCGGCCCCAGCAGCCTGAGTGATTGGGTGGGAGGAAACGGGTTTGAAGTTCGTGGCTTCAAAACATTTGCTGACTTTCTGTTGTTTTACAAAATAAAAGTACCTGAAAGCTGTACCTTCCCTAATGCTCACCCCCCGCCCCCCAGGAGATCCCGGTCAACATCCGCTTCTGTCTGGAGGGCATGGAGGAGTCTGGCTCCGAAGGCCTGGATGAACTGATCTTTGCGCGGAAAGACACGTTCTTCAAAGACGTGGACTACGTGTGCATCTCCGACAACTACTGGCTGGGGAAGAAGAAGCCCTGCATCACCTACGGCCTCCGGGGCATCTGCTACTTCTTCATCGAGGTATGTCACCCGCCTACCCGGCAGAGGCGCCCCCTGCGGCTCCCCCAGCCCTGCGCTCCCTGCCCCTCCGCCGCCTGCAACAGGCGGCCACGCTGACCGGAACCTGCCTGGCGCCCTGTCCTGTGTGAGGCAGGCCCTGGCGTACCCCAGGCAGGGTCACTCATGCTCCGTGGCCCCAGGCCACATGCATGCATCTGCGAGCCGGGAAGGCTGGTGCTGCCCGGGCCGCTGAGCAGGGTTAGCCGGGGCCCGACTCAGGCGGGAGCCTCACCAAGCTCTTCAGACACGCGTCCCTTTAGAGTTAAAATGTTTCCTTGTCAGCCCGAAGCTCCCGTCCCCTGATCTTGAGGAAACTGAGACGTCGCACTGGCCGGGCCGCGCTGGGCTCCCACCCACAGACCAGGCAGGCCGCAGGGTGGCTGCTGGGGAAGTGGTGGCTGTGTGTGAAGCTTTTCACGGACTCGGGGTGCTGAGCGCTGCCCGTGCTCCTCGCCGTCTGCTAGTGGCCCGGTGCCCCGGGCCAGCACCTGGGTCTACCGTGGTTGACGTTCCTGAGAGTATTTTTTTTTTGATGCTTCCAAGTCTTGTGATTTCAGAAGCACCTTGCGTTGCTCCTTGAGGGGACACATTTTAAAGCCTTCCTGCCAGGGCTTGGGAATGTTCTCTGTAATGTGTTGTCACCCCCGGGTTACGCTGCCCCACAGCAGCGCGTGTGACCTCTGTCCCCAGGTGGAGTGCTGCAGCAAGGACCTGCACTCCGGCGTGTACGGCGGCTCGGTGCACGAGGCCATGACAGACCTCGTCACGCTGATGGGTGAGCAGGGCCTGGCCGCAGGCGCCCTCCACCGTCCCCACCAGCCACACCCCACCCACTCCACCCCTTGAAAGGCCCACGCACATCATCTCTGCCCCCGTCTCCTGCACCGGCCCGCCCTCCTGCAGCCCCTGCACAGGCCTGGGGCCTGGGGCCACGGCTCCCACACCCACCCTTCAGCACGTGCCACCCCGCCCCCGCCCGCTGAGCCCGCCGCCTCTGTCGGTCCCTCCAGGCTGCCTGGTGGACAGGAAGGGGAAGATCCTCATCCCTGGCATCAACGAGGCCGTGGCCCCCCTGACGGAGGAAGAGCTGCAGCTGTACGAGAAGATCGACTTCGACCTGGAGGAGTACGCCCAGGATGTGGGGGCCGAGACCCTGCTGCACAGCTGCAAGGTGCCCGCCCGCCCGCCCGGGCCGTCTGTCCGCCAGGCTGCCGGGTGCTGGCCAGGAAACCCGCGGCGGGGCGTGGAGCCCAAGCATTCCTGTGCTGTCCGCACACGCAGGAGGCCCCGGGATGGGTGGGGCGGCACGGAGGTGGGGAGCCCAGGGAGCTGGGCCCGTCCACTGGTGCAGGACACTCTTCACCCGGGCCCAGGACGTGGCCTAAGCCGTACTCATCCCGGCAGGACGGGCAGGCTCTGAGGACGCTGCTGTCCTCCCACCCCGCTGCCCCAGAATCAGCGTCTGCCCTGGGGCCAGGCGTCCCCTTGCGCTAGCCACGGACGTTGAGTGGCTGAGGCCTAAGAGCCCAAAGCCCCAGTGGCTTCTCGGCCAGGCAGCCATGTGGGTGGTCTGTGGCCTCTGCTGACGCGCCCACTGCCGGGAGGCCTGGGGCCATAGAGCCCAAGACGCTTGGCGGGCTGACTGGCCACGGGCTCCCCCAGGACAGTGCATGGCTCTGGCCTGCCTCTCCCAGTGGGTTCTGCCCCCAGAGGGGGGCCTGTGTCTGCTCCCTCTTCCTCCTGGAGCCTCAAGCCACAGTGTCTCACAAGGCCCAGAGCACAGCAGGGAGACCAGCCCCCCACTCCACCGCGGGCCAGGCAGGCGTCCCCGGGGTGCGGCTGGTGACCAGGAGGGACGCCCCCGGACACAGCAGGGAGGCCAGCCCCCCAGGACACCCCAGTCACCGCTGTCCTAAACCACGTCCCCCCCGCAGACAGACCTCCTGATGCACCGCTGGCGGTATCCATCCCTTTCCCTGCACGGAATCGAGGGTGCCTTCTCGGGGTCGGGCGCCAAGACCGTGATCCCCAGGAAAGTGATCGGCAAGTTCTCCATCAGGCTCGTGCCGAACATGACCCCTGAGGTGGTCAGCGAGCAGGTAGGTGGGGCTGCGGATCAGGTTGATGGGGCTTAGGCAGCTCGAGCCAGGCCGTCTGGGCTCCTGCCAGCTCGGGAAGGACCGGGGATGAGTAGTTCAGGAAGGGCAGGGGCGATGGGGCGAGGCCAGACAGCGAGCATCCCGTCAGTGACCCCGTCACTGCTGAGCCAGCTGCACTCTGACCCCTGACCTCTGACCTCACCTCAAGTCAGCGCTGACTTTGGCCAAGTCTGCTATTGCGCGTGTCCCCAGGCGCCTCCTCCGGGCCTTGAGGAGGAGAGTGGGCAGAGAGGCCCAGAGGGGAGGGCACCGGCCCACAGGCAGGTGTCACGGAGATGGGGGTGTCCCGGTCCACACCTGGCCCCGCAGCGCGGGTGTGATCAGTTCTACAGAGACGCCAGGAGCGTCCTTGAAACGCTGTCCCAGCGCGGAGACACTGCCGCGGGGAGCCAGCTGCGGTTAGAGCATCGCCCACACCTTCGAGTGTGTGGACGCTGTGTCCTGGTACACTTCGGCCGTCAGCACGTAGCTCCGTGTTTGGCAGCAGAAATGAGACCCGCTGTGGAGTCACAAAGACCCGCTGTACACTCGCCGAGACCCGCTGGAGGCTCCCTGCAGAGCCGCGGAGACGGGCTGTGGCCCGCGGAGGCCTGCTGCAGATGCACTGAGCCCTCCGCGCGCGTTGGAGACGCTCTGTAGCCAACTGCGGACCACTGCGGACTCCAGCGGACTCCAGCGGAGTGCTGACTGGCATTGGGGCAGATGCCAGCCTGGTGATGCCAGCCTGGTGATTCTGGGTCTCTTCGTTTGTGGCACAGGTCACGGGCTACCTGACTAAGAAGTTTGCTGAGCTGAACAGCCCCAACAAGTTCAAGGTGTACATGGGCCACGGAGGGAAGCCCTGGGTGTCCGACTTCAACCACCCCCATTACATGGCTGGGAGGAGAGCCCTGAAAACAGGTCAGGACGCCCCTCGGCGCACGCCCTGCTGGCCGTCTGGGGGCTCTGCCCTGGGTTTGGGCACGGAGCTGCCCCCTGAGGAGCATCACGGGGCGGGCGGCCACCCCAACTCCGAGGTCTGGGCTGTCCTCAGCCTGGGGCCTGCAGCTCACCACTGCCTGGGCTTCCCCCCCCCCCAGTTTTTGGCGTTGAGCCGGACCTGACCAGGGAGGGCGGCAGCATCCCCGTGACGCTAACCTTCCAGGAGGCCACAGGCAAGAACGTCATGCTGTTGCCCGTGGGCTCGGCCGACGACGGTGCCCACTCACAGAACGAGAAGCTCAACAGGTGGGTGCGGCTGCCAGGCCTGCATCATGGGTGCCCAGGGCGCCCCACCAGGCCCTCCACGCCCTCCTGGTCCCGCTGCTGCCCTGTGCCCCTCCTCCAGCATGTACCCCTGCACATGGTGGAGGAGTCAGGACACTGCAGAGCTTCTCCCACTGGAGAGGTCGCAGGTCTGGGCTGGCTCACCGGGCTCACCCTATCCTTGGCATGAGCAGCCGCGCGGGCTCCTGGAACCTGCAGGGAGGGGCGTGGTGGCGGAGGGTTTGCAGCCATGAGGCAGGAGGCCCTGGCCGTGCAGGAGCCACGGATACAGGACGGGCCAGAGTGGGGTCACCAGGGCGGCCGGACGGGCTGACGCAGAGGGTGGAGGTGGCCACTTGTGTCTCCGGTTAAACCAGAGCCGTCACCAGTCCACGGTGCCCGTGGGGCTGAGCCCGTGCCTGATCACAGGTGGCCGCAGTCTCCAGGCCAGCAAGGCGCGGCCACAGTCCCAGTCAGACACTCCCGAGTGCCCCGTGTCCCTGGACCTCAGCCGTTCCGGGGCGCCACCCGCGCTGACCACATGCTCTGCTCCTCCAGGCACAACTACATAGAAGGCACCAAGATGCTGGCCGCCTACCTGCACGAGGTGTCTCAGCTGAAGAACTGAGGACCCAGCTGCGTGGGTGCCCGGAGCAATCCCAGCACGACCCTCGTCCTCCTTCCGTCGCTCGGGACAGCGGCCTCTCCCTCGACCCTTCTCAGATCACACAGCTGCCCAAGAACGACCAGGCAGCGCCCGCCTGTCCCCTGGGGGCGGTCCCTGGGCCCAGCGGTCAGCGATGTTGAGCCTGGGGCGTAACAACCCTGGATGACCACAGGTTCTCAGAGTGGTCAGTGACTTTGTCCCACAAAACAGCCAAGGTCTGGCAGGACAAGTCCTGTGCAAGGTTCTGCCTGTCGTCCAGCTGGGCTGCACAGAGCGCTCCAGGCCCCATCTCTGGTCCGCGGCGGGGTCTCCCCCCGCATCTGAGGCTCGAGGGGCCTCTTTCTGGAGGAGGCCTGGCGTTGCCTGTTTCTCCTCGTTGTGATCGCCCCAAACCTCATCTCCCTGGTGGGTTCTTCTGTCTCAGTCTGTGCTGCTGAATAAAGGAGGAAGTGAAGCCTCTGGGGGTGCTGCCCCCTGGGTGCTTTTGTGCTCTCAACAGTCAGGACCCATCGGACTTGGGGAGCTCCGTTACCTCTCCCTCAGCTGCCTGCCCAGACGCTGGGTTCAGCCAGAGCCACCGCAAACTGCCCAGCCCCTTGCGCGCTCCGCCCGCCCCCCGCCCAGCGTGGCACAGAGGCCTCCGTGGCCTCATGTCTTACGGGGGCGCCTGTACCGTTGGCGTTTCCCCGGTTAGCCTCTCTGTGGTCAGTGTAACTGTCAGAGGGGAAGGAGCGGAGGGACCGTTTGCCCCGAGCCCTGACCCACGCGCTGGGAGCCTGCCGTGACCGGGAGCCAGGTCTCCTCCGGTGGAGAGGGGAGGCGGAGGGACCGCAGCCTGCCGGGGTGAGGGCCCAGCCCAGGAGGCTGTTCTCATGAAGGGGAGCTGGGCACAGAGACGCCCAGGGAGATGCGGTGGGGGTGACAGCAGAGCGGGGACAAGACAGGGACACCAGCAATCACCAGCCGCCCCGGAAGGCAGGACACGCCCGCACCCACACTGCCCTGAGGGGACCCAGCCCTGCCCATGCCTCGGTTTAGACATCTGGTCCCCAGAACCACACGCAACGCATTTCTGTGCATCGGCCGCCCAAGCCAGCACCCGGGGCGAGGTAGGTCCATCGCCAGGGTCAGCATGCCTCCAGGGTGTCTGGCGCCTGCTGCCCTGCAGGCCCACCCAGCACCCACTCCCTCCCAAAGGTGACACCTGGGTCGCCCTGGGTGGCCCTCACAGCCCCAGTCACCTCAGAGGCTTCCGGCCGCTCCCTCACCCCTGTGTGCACACAGGCCCATTGTCCTCTGCCGTCCAAACAAATGCCCGCCTCTGAAGCATCTTTGTTTCCAGATGTGAATAGGTCCACTGTGCCAGCCTGTCCTCCGTCTGGGGGCCAGGGTGGGGCGGGGGGCACAGGCGAGCCATTTGCTGAGGGTACTTAACGCCAGCTAGGCCTTGTGGGAATATCTCCACTCCCTGGGACGCAGGAGGATCACCGGAGGCTTCAGAACTCGGGCCCAATGGATCCCACGCTAGGGAGAATGGTGAGTAGACCCCCTGCGGCCCAGGGGAGCAGAGTGCTGGAGTTCCTTTTGTTAAAGCAGGTGAGCCCTGTCAGCGAGCCAGCCGGCCCCCCTGGGACGCCCCTGCTTAGAAGAGCTCTGGGGTGCGCCTTCCCCAGCCCGGGGTCCAGATGGCCGGAAGTGCTTTATCCGTGCGCTTTCGGTGGCGCACACCCGGGCAGGGTCAAGAGGGCTGGTGCCCTCCAGCAGTGCCTGGTGCCGTTAGACCTGGCGAGCAGAATCCAGGGTGAGCAAGGGCTCCGGGCTGAGTGCCACCAACCAGGGCGCCCCCACTCTCGGCCACGCTCCCCGTCTCCTTCCCACCATAAGCAAATTTCTTTTTAAAAAAAAGATTTATTTATACAAGAACCGGGGTACAGACCAGAGGCGTGGAAGGGTGAGAGGATTCACCAGACAGCAGGGAGCAGAACAGGCAGACAGAGGGAAGACACTGCTGAGGGGAGCAGCGGGGAGACAGGAGAGGTCTGCTGTGCCATGTGGGCATCTCCCTGGCCGGCCGGCATCGAACCTGCGCTGCAGAGGCTGTGGACAGCTTCACGGCGCTGCGCTCACCCGCCTGCGCCGCCAGGGAGGCCCCCTAAGCAAATTTCTTATTAAAGCCACGGGGCAGGACTCCAGCTGCCAAGTGTGAAAGTGGACAAGGCTGCACCTCCGGGGCTGGGGGCCCCTTTCAGAGCCCCAGGCCCTGCTTCCCCTCCAAGCGCTGGTGTGAGCCCCAGGGGTGGAGGCCCAGGCGTCTGCGTGTCCCGAGGGCATTAGCCTTGCTCTCCAGCACGGGCAGGTCTAGGAGAGCTCTCACCGTCAGCGGGGAAGAAAGCCTGGCCCCGCCCGGGGCCTGCCTCCAGCCCAGGCGGCTGGGGCCCTGCTGGGCACCTCCAGAACTCGCCTGTGGCCGCCCTCCAGAGGAGCACTTTCTCCTGGGTGCTTGGCCGCGGCCCCTGTAACACGAGACAGATGAAAAGAACTGCCTGAAATCTACCCACGCACATGCAGAGCCGGGGAGAGCAACCGGGCTTAGCCTGTGTAGCCTCTGCCGCGAAGCAGCTCGCACGGGCCAGGACGGGGAAGCGGCTTCAGCTCCCGGGGGCGCCGTGGGGCAGCGCAGGCACTGAGGGGCCAGGGCTGCAGGGCCCTCCGGGCTGTCTCTGCGCCCAGCGTCCTCTCGTTAAAGGAAATTTGTGTCTTGCCTTTAAGGCAGAAGTGGGGAGAAAAGGGCGAACGTCTCTGGTGGGTGCTGCTGCTTAACTCACGTCAGCGCAGCGCCATTCCACGGCAAGGCAGCCCTGAAACCTCCTCCGAGTCGCACGCACGAAAAGAGCGGGAGCTGGGGAGAGGTTTGGCTTAGAAGCTGTGAGATAAGAAACTGGCAAAGGGAGAGAAAACCCAAATTGGAACATGGGAAAAAGGGCAAATCTTAACCCTCGTTCCCGTGGCTTATTGAATCAAGCCCTGGGTCCTGGGAAGAGGTCAGCCCGGTTGCATCATCGTGTCTCCCTCAAGCCTCCCCAGTGAGAGACGAGCAAGCGTGTGTTTAACGAGAAGCCTCCTAGGGAAGCGGGAGAGATGAAAACACATGGATGGCACACGCCGTCCCTGAGCCCGAGGTGGTCCAGGGGCCAAGGAGGCGGGGCCCGAAGCTCCTTGCTCTGGAGGGAAGGGGCAGGTCCCAGTCCCCAGCTCCCAGTTTGAAGGACGTTTGAAGGACAGAAGGCGGCTCCTGGTGTCCGGTGACCGTCTAGGGGGCCCCGGTGACCGTCTAGGGGGCCAGGCCTCACCTGCAACCCCTGACCTCGTGGGGTCCCTCCCTTGCTGAGCCCCTGCAGCGGCACCATGGAGTCTGGCCTGTAACCCATTATCAGCGTTTCGAAGAGAAGAACTTGAAAAACAAAACACTTTAAAAAAGCAGTGAATCATTAAAAATAAATGATTATTTCTGAGGTATATAATATTTTAAGATAAAAATTGGGATTGTGATGAGTTATATGGGACTATCAATCCAGGACATAGGAAAGGCCCAGGAGTTTTATGCAATTTTTGAAAAAGCTGCATTAGAAATACATAAAGTCAGACGTCACTTTATGTGACGCTGTCTCTCGTGTAACTTACCAAATATGCCTGATTAGTTTAGCATCACTCTTTTTAGAGGAGAGAGAACAAATCTTTGAGATTTTGGAAAATCACAAACGTGGTTACGGGTCAGCAGGACTTCATGTAGAATCTGTGGGAAAATGTCAAGAAGTTTAAAACATCATTAAATATGATTACAGGCCACGGCGAAACAGTCCTTAGTCATCCATGTAACCAAAGTACAAATTTAAAAGATTTCAAAGAGAAGTAGTTAGAGTATTAAAAAAAAAAAAAAACTACGTCAGTTCTTTTATTCTTTTAAATTTTTTTAAAGATATATTTTATTTGTGCATATAAGAACTGGGGTGCAGGCCAGAAGTGCAGGGGGTGAGACGATTCACCAGAGACAGAGTGGGGAGCAGAACAGGTGGATTGACTGAAACTCACTGCTGAGGGGAGCAGCGGGGAGACAGGAGAGGTCTGCCGCGCCATGTGGGTAGCTCCCTGGCTGGGGATCCAGCTCGCTCTGCAGAGGCTGCGGACAGCTTCACAGCGCTGAGACTAATCCCTGCGCCACCAGGGAGGCCCCCAAAGATTTTCTTTTCTGAGCTTTTCCCAACTCTTTATACCTGTTTTTGTCTTTTAATCTCCTTTTTAGACCTTTAAATAATCTACACTAGGACAAAAACACATCTTCACACTTTTGTATCTTTTCTTCCAAAAACACATTTTACATTCCTTGCAATCTTCGAATGAAGTTTTAACTCTGTGATTCTCTCTGTATAAATGTTCTTAAGAATCAGTAATAAGAGAACAGAGGCGAACCTGTAATAAGAAGCCAAAAGTAGATAAACTTTAGACTCGAATGTTTCAGAACTTTGTCTTATGTAAAAATGATGTGGATGTTTCCAGAACAGCCATCATTTCACTTAGTATAACTTTGTTTCAAGTTTCCAGAAAGATTCCAAAAACTGCTTTTCAGCAGACGTGTATGAAAAGTAACACTGGTTTGCAGGAAGGAGTTTGTTGGGTGCTGCCCCTACCCCCCCCCACCCCCATGCAGGCATGAATGTCCCTACGGCAGACACAAAACAAAGCAGGGGCTGAGGTGGTAGCTTTGCAGGGCCCTGGGCCCCGGGCCCCGAGGAGGCTTCCGTTACCACGAGTGACACCCGCCGAGTGCAGGGACCAGAGCCACACAGAGGCTGCTGACGCTGACAGCGAGGGCAGGCGAGACCCCACAGGGAGCAGGGCGCTCTGGTCCAAGAGTGTCCCCCAGAGTCCATGTCCACCTGGGACTCAGAATGCGATCTCATTTGAAAAGAGGGTCTCTGCAGATTAGCTGAGGGGGGTCACTGGATGGTGGGAGCGGGTCCTGAAGTCACTGGAGGTCGCACAGACTCCCAGGAGGAGGGCGTGAGGCGGGATGTGGCCTGGAGCCCAGGACATCCGGCCGCTCAGACACTGGGCAGAGGCAGGAAGCCTCCCTGCCCCTTCAGAGGAGCACGCCCCCACACTGTGACTCCAGACGTGCAGCGTCCAGGACGAGCAGGAAGAAATTGCTGTCGTTACGTCACCCCGTGATTCCTGGCTCCCCTGCAGCCACTGGTACCGGCACAAAGGGACAGGCACGTCCTGGCCCCTGAACACTTGCTCTTGAACTTCAGCCTGGAACCGTCCCCCCTTCAGCCCTTAGATCTTGCTTCTCTGTGGGAGGGACAAGAATCCTGCTTTGAGATCAAAACAGGTTTGCTCTGAGCTTAAGGCCTCATCAGATAACAGAAGTTATCCAAGAGAGTATCCAAGTAATTCGGGTTCCCAGAAAAAAGCATGTGTCCTCTAGTGGGGTCCCCATCAGTGCCTTGCTCTGCCAGGCCAGTCTCCCGAACTCCAGCGGCCCCTACCCCGCTTCCCTCCGCTGTCCTCAACCTTGTTCCGGCTTCTCAGCTCCCAGGGACCTGCCCCCCATCCACCTCCTGCCACTCCCTCCTCCTTCTTGTCTCTGGTGCTTCTAGTTGCTTCTCTCCTGTTGGGGTGCCAGAAAGCCTTGACTTCACCTGTTCCCTGAGATCAGCCAATCACCCCTGCAGGTGTGTCAGATTTGGACTTAACCAGAAGCTGGGTCCATGGATCTAAGAGAGGCAGCACAGTGGCGACGGGTCTGACTACCAGGGCAGGTTAAGCTGGGCGGGGCTGGGGCTCTGGGGTGAACATGCCACTTTGTGGTGTGGGATTCACACTTTGCGCCCTTCGAGAGGGAGAGCACACCCCGTTCCAGGGGCAGGATCCGAGACAAGCTCTGTCCTGGGACCCGGCATTGCCTTTCAGGATGCTCCCAGCCAGTGTCCACGCCCTGCGGGGAGCCCACATCTCTGGCCGTGCCATCCAGCTGCCGCACACTCCCAGCTCACAGTCTCCCTGCAAAACCAGGCGTCCCCTAGGGGATGTCTGGGGACCCAGGCCCCCCCCAAACTGGGGGACTAGAAAGGGTCTTGGGGCCTCCTCACTGGCGATGCCAGCTCTCCCCTTCCCGGAGCCCACGCAGGTGGCCCGGAGCCCTCCTCTGTGGGCGTGGACCCCAGGCTGTGGAATAGGGGACACCCGGGGGTCAGGACTATGGTCATTGGATGGGCATCTGATCCCCTGGCCCTGCAGGACCCTGGACCTGGCCCGGCCTGCCAGCCTCAGGAAGGGCTCCCGCCTGAGCTGGCTCCACCTGCATTCCAGCAGCTGGGGTCCTCCCTCTCCAGCCTGGCCAGTCCAGCAGTACCGGCATGCTGGGCCCCATCCTGCACATGGGCTACAGGCCAGCCTGGGTCTGGAGGAGGCGCCGCTGGACTTGACCTCAGCCACAGCTCTGGGGCCGGTTCCGCCCCCCTCTCCCCCCGCCCAGCCAGACCCACTGAGGCTGAGGACGCTGGCGAAGCAGCCCTTCTGGACCTTCCTGGGGCGCTCGGCTTCCTGGACCAGCTTCCCTTACCCTGGAATGAGTCCAGGCCCCAGAGGCCTCTGAAAGCCTCCCCCCCCCCACCCCCAACACTCCTCAGGGCGAGGAGGCCAGAGGGCCTTCACCCGGCAGCTCTTAGCGCCATTCTACTCCACCCCAGGGCAGAGCCTGCAGGGGTTTTAGCAAAATCCAGAAAGGCCTGTTTTGGGGATTGGGTTTTTATTTGTAATCCCATCATAGTTAAGCTCAGCTAAAGAGGCAGTTTTCTCTGTGCCATAACCAAGTCTTCAAAGCTGACAGGGATCAGGACCTCAACCACCGGGTAAGTAGACGCTTGGCACCGGCTGACAGCACTGAGGGTGGGGCAGGCTTGGTCTGCTTGCAAGACGCGCGTCCTGCCCTGGGCTGTCCGGTGGGGGTCAGAGCTGCTTTCGTTTCCGTGTCCATCTCGGCAAGCTGCAAAGCCGCAGCAGCCAGCGATGCGGGGCGGGGTTTTGTCCTCAGCTTTCCTGCTCCAGGCCTCCTTTGGGGGCGCCGGGTGCTGGCTGAGCAGCGAGGCCCATCAGCTAGCACCTTGGTGGGGAGGGGAGCAGGGGGGCCCAGGAAGCGGGGCTGCGGCCATCAGAACCCCGCAGCTTCCCAGCCCCCGTGTGGCCCTGACTTGGAGAAGTCGCTCACGTGTTTAAAGACGAAAACAAAACGTGTTTAGAAATGACTTCACTTTAATTCCACACCTGAGAACAAGCAGCAGGACAGCAGGCACCTGCGCTGGGGGCCGGCAGGTTTACCTGCGAGGCTTCCCGCCAGGACGCCGCCCGCTTGCACCCTCCGGGGAGCCAGGGGATCCGGGACAGCTCCCTGGGGCCACCTGCTGGACAAGCCCCCAATCGGCCCGTGAATGCGCGCGCGGCCGGTGCAGACTGGGCTGGGGAGACCTGGGCCCCCGCAGCAGACCTGGGCTCTGGCAGTAGACCTGGGCCCCGCAGTAGACCTGGGCCCTGCAGCAGACCTGGGCTCTGGCAGTAGACCTGGGCCCCGCAGTAGACCTGGGCCCTGCAGCAGACCTGGGCTGGCCGTGCTTCACTTCCTTTGCAGTCGTTTCTCATGCTCAGAACCACCTCTATCACAGCAAAATCCCCACTCCTCGCGATGCAGCCATTTAAAGTGTGCAGTTCCCTGGCTTTCGGATGCCACGATCATGGCCACAGTTTCAGAACATTTTCCTCACCCCACAGGACCCGCTACCCATTTGCAGTCACGCCCCACTTTCCTGCCTCTCCCGCCCTAGGCAACCCCAACCTGCTTTTTGTCTCTCGATTCCCCTGTTCCGAACAGTTCACCTAAGTGCACGAGCACCGCGCAGCCAAGGTCCACCGGGCAGGGCCGTGTCAGTACTTTGGTCTTTTTATGGCTGAGTAATATTCCACCGTGTGCCCCGTACACGCTGCTCGCCTGGTGAGGTGATAAGCCAGAGGCTGTTGAATAACGCTGCCCCACACCCGACTCCAGTTTTTCTGTGGACTCACATTTGTTTTTCTTGAGTGCATCCCTAGGAATGGAATTTCTGGGTCATTTGGCAACTCTGTTTAATCATTTGAGGAGCTTCCAGACTGCTTTCCAATTTTACATTTTACATCTGCCCCAGTGGTGGGTGAGGGTGCCAGTTTCTCTATACCCTCCTCAACACTTGTTATTACTATTATTATTATCTGACTTTTTGATTTTATTATCTGTTATTATCTGACTTTTGTTATTTTCTGACTTTTTGATTTTAGCCATGCTAGTGGGTATGGAATTGTGACTTATTATAAATTGACTTGCATTTTTCTGGTGGCTAATAATGTTGAATATCTTTTCATGAGCTTATTGGCCATTTGTGGGTTTGTTTGTTTGTTTGTTTGTTTGTTTTTTGAGAGATGTCCATGCAAATCCTTTAAAATCGAACTGTATGTCTTTTACTATTGGGTCTCACTAGTTCTTTATATTCTAGGCATAAACCCTTTGTCAGATATATGATTTGCAAATTTCTTTCCTATTCTGTGGATTGTCTTCTTACTTCCTTAATAGCGTCTTTTGAAAAAGAAAGATTTTTAAAGTTTTTTATTTTGTCACTTGGGCTTTTGGTGTCATATCTTAGAAGCCATTACCTAACTTGAGGGAATGAAGATTTTTCACCATGTTTTATTGTTTAAGTGCTGTGTGGTGCTGGGCTTGCATTTAGGCCTTTGCCCATTTAGAATTAGTGTCGGTGTATGGTGTGAGGAAGGGGTCCAACCTCATCTTTGGTGTGTGGATGTCCAGTTGTCCAGCACCATTTGCTAGAAGGTCTGTTCTTTCCTCCACGGACACCTTGGTTGAAAAGCAGTTGATCATAAATATGAGGATTTATTTCTAGACTTTCAATTCTAATCCACTGATAAATGTGTGTATCCTTAACCAGCATCATACTGTCTTGATTCTTCGTGACTGTTCTTAAAGCTTAGAGTTCTCTACGCATTGTTTCCCAGCAGATTTTACTCTTTTATGAGAACATTTTGATGCATTCCTTAACCTAAGAAAAGAAAATTCCAAAGTTCAAAACTTCTGCCCTGAATGCCAGTCCCTCCTGACAGCTGACCCCTCCCCAAGCCTACACCACTCCTTCCCCACTCGGGGTTCAGTGCTAATTTCCTCCTGGACTATGCCCTGTGAACCCCCCCCCCACCACGGTGACACAGTCCACACTTTATATGCTACCCCCACTGCTTTGTTGAAGCTGGTAACCTTCTGATTGGTCAGTGGGTCAGTGTGCAGGCTCCAAGCTCATCAGCTGGGCCCCTGGTCAGCTCTGAGGCCAGCCCTGATCTTAGATGGCGCGGGGCAGTGCAGTGGCTTCCCAAGCAGCACAGCAAGGGAATGGCTGGGCCACCTGCCTCCTGCCTCCTCAATTTCTGCCTCTGAGTCCAAAGTTGGTGCTGGCTTTGCCTCCTACATGAGTGTGGAGATGTCTCTGTGCTTGCTCAGATATTTGCAAATTGAATCTCAGCTGGAAATGTTTTTTGACTCCTGGGGCTCCTGGGATCTTTCCAAGGAACACCTGAAGGAGGCTGGTGGGGCCAGCGCTCTCCCTTGGGGCGGCAGCGGCTTCGCAGCCCCAGCAAGGCTGTGCACCCTCCGGCCCCGGGACTCCTTCCGTGGGGCCAGATTGCTTTGCTTTGTGTTTCTGGAGGTGATTTCCTGGAAGATGCAAAACTCACAGGTTCCTCTAGAGTCACTAGGAGCCACCTTTGGATGCCGGTCTGTCTGGACACTCACACCTGGTCTTTCCTGTCTTGGGCCCAGAAATGCAGGCCAAGGGGTAACAGCCCAGTGGAAAACAGCTTTAAACAGTAAAGTCTATTTTTTAAATGTACAAAAACCGGGAAGGGAGAGCTGGTTTGGAGCCGGTTGAGTCCCACTGCCTGCGGGGCTGGTGCCCTCTGGGGGGAGGCCCTGGGAGAAACCCCTGAGCAGGATTTGCGGGGTTCAGAGACCGCACCCTGCATGGCGGAGTCGCGGCGGGGTGAGGGTGAGGGGCTGGGCCTGCCTCTCTGCAGAGCTGGGGGGGCTGCGGCCTGGACCTGGGTGAGCCGGGCTGGGGAGTGGGACCCCAGCGCCCACCTCCTGCCCAGGCCGGCTGCGGCCCAGCCCTCGCGCTCACGCAACCCACCAGAAGGCAGACACTGAACAAGCGCGGACTGAAAATCCTGATGTTCCAACATCAGATAAGCAAATGTCGCGCTGATAAAGGTGGGATTCGGACAAAAGTCACAGGTTCCTGATGCGACCAGGAGCGGCGCCCCTTGTGTTCAAACCTCTCTGCAGGGGCGGGGGGCTCCTCCCCTCCGCGGGTGCGGGCAGGGCTGCACCCCCGCCAGCGCCCCTGCCAGCTCGCCCTGCCGCTCCCCTCTTGCCCGGCCCCGCTGGGCGCCCCGAAGCTGCTGGAGCCGGGTTGCTGCGGGCGAAGGTCTGCCCCTGGCTCCGGCTCCGGCTCCGGACGGGCTCTGGGGTCCCGCCCCGGGGTGGCCCCCATTTCGCTACAAACGAGATCTTTGTGTCGGGGCGGGGAGGGTGCCCCGGCTGGCGCCTGGGGGTGTCCAGCGGCGCCACCGCAGGGCAGGTGCTGGGGGCGCGGGGTCCCCCGGGGACGCGGGGTGAGGAGAGGGTGCCCCGAGGGAGGGAGGGAGGGAGGGACAGCCGGGGTCGTGTGCGGTGAGGCGGGGCCCCCCGAAGGCCGCGGCCCGAGTGGGGAGCGGCCGGCAGGGGCGCGCCAGCCGAGCGGGGTGATCGTCTGGCCCCTCGCTGGCGAGCACCGAGCCCCGGAGCTGACGAGGGCGCGTGTCCGAGCGAGTGTCGCCCGCGCGGGGTCCGGTTCTTGCAGCCCGGCCCGGCGCGGGGCCCAACCCGCTCCCGACGCGCCGCAGACCTTCCCCGACGGCCCGGGAGGCCCGCGCGCCCCGGAAGGCGCTGCGGCTGGAGACGCCGCCCCGCTCGCCCCCGCGCGCCCCGGTCGCCCCGGGGCCCCGAAGGGCCGGCCCGGCCCGCCCAGCGCCCGCCCAGCGCCCGCCCAGCGCCCGCCCAGCGCCCGCCCAGCGCCCGCCCAGCGCCCGCCCTCGCCGCAGGCGTCCGCGCTCCTGGCCTTGCTGCTGCTGCTGGACCGAGGCATGTTCTCCCCCGCGAGGGCGCCCGCGCGCGCGCAGCAGCGGCTCTTCGCGCACATCGACGGCCGCCAGCACGAGTTCGTGCAGGTAGGGCCCGGCGTCGGCGGGGGGCTCGGCCCGGCACCTCGTCCCGCTGGGAGCCTCGGGACCCCTCGCGGAATTAAAATAGCAAAATATAAAATAATTAAAATGAGTAAAAATAATGACCTTCGTTAAGAGGCGCCTCCCAGCCAGGCCTGCGGGAACGCGCTGGTGCTCCGCCCCCAGGAGGGTGCCCACATAGTCGACGCTGGTCATGGGGTGGCCCGCAGCCTCCCCTTAGAGGGGCCCTGGCAGAGGAGTCACCTTCAGAATGTGCTCCCAGGCCTGCCCCGAGGCTGCGCACTCTAGGTCTGGGGTTCGAGTTCAAGGCTGAAGTGGCGTCTGGGTAGCCCAGTGTGCCCGTCTCCTTGACGATCCTGCACTGCCAGGGCAAATGGGGGGGGGGGCGTGGAGAGGGGCAGGCGGGAAACTGCTCTACCCGGTCTCCCTCCCTCGTGCTCCTGGCTTTCCAGTCCCCACCCCTCCCCCAGCACACCCCTCCATCCGACAGAACTCCCTGGGGTCTCACTGGAACTTGTGCCCACACGAGGGACCTGCCAACGCTGGGGTGTCACTGTGTGGACACTGGTGGGACACCCAAGGCCACATGCCCGGGGACTCCTGGACCGGACCTTCCCTGCTCCTGCCCACGCGGGAGGACTGGCTGAACAGAGGGGCTCCTTGTGTGTGCGAGGCCCCAGCGTCCTTCTGGAAGGGGGTGGATCTGTAGGCAGAGAAACAGGGGGGTCAGATGCCAACGTGGAGGGCGGGGAGGTTTAAAGCTCGCAAATGTGCCCGATCCGCTCAGCTCTGGGGCCAGTTGACCGCCTCTGCTCTGCAAATGCTAGTGCAAAATGTGAACTCAGCATTCCTTGCGGGGAAACGAAGTTCTCTGTAATACGAGTGGAAGCGCCCCAGGCAGAAGGAGCTCGGCTGAGCAAGGTCCATCCCCAGATCAGGCTGTGCTGGTTTTGAACAAAATCGAAGGCTGCCCCACCCCAATGCTGGGGCCCCAGGGACGTTCACTCAGGAGCCGTTCCAGGCTGGCCCCAGCTACCAGAGCCTCCTCAGCCCTTAAGCGCTCACCCAAAGGGGTGCCCGCTTCCCCCCCGCCCCCCCCCCCGCCACAGACACCTGACCGTGGGGGGGGGGGCTTCCCACCCCCGTCAAGAGTAGTGCGTCCTGGAACAAGGGACATGGGACCGCCAGAGCACACGGGCCATGGAACGTCATGGCCCCAGGAGCCGGGTGTGCTCCCCTCCTGCCTGGGTGCCTGTGACCTGAAACTCTCCAACCAGAGGCCTGGCGGGATTCCTTATGGAGGCTTGTCCACACAGCAGGCTAGATTGTTAACTCGGTCTCCAGCTCCTCTGGCTCCCTGGAGAGTCGGGGGTGGGCTGCAAACTCCCAGCTTCTAATCCTGACTCCCAGGCCCCTGGGAACCATCCAGAACCCACCAGAATTGCCCAACAGAACTAAAGACTCACCTGATGCTCCAGCACTCGGGCCTGGTTCTCTGGCCATGTGGTGCATCTGGCCAGCCCTTCCCTGCAGCCCCCATGGGCCCAGGAGGATGCGGCCACGGCTCTGGAGCAGCCCAGCCTGCCCTTTCTTCCCGAGCAGCCCCCTCGGGCCTCTAGCGCCTCTGCCTGGTTCCTCTGAATTTCACAGTTCCAAGCTCCATCCTCTGGAGGAGCGCTCTGGGGCTTGGCCCCCTGTCCGGGCATCTTGGCATGGTGGGGTACACCCCAGTAGGCGTGGGCCACACCCCCATGCTGATCTCTTGGCTGCCTTCCTTTGCAGACCCTCAAGGAATGGGTGGCCATCAAGAGCGACTCCGTGCAGCCAGCCCCCCACCTCCGACAGGAGCTCATCCGGATGATGGCCCTGGCCGCTGAGCACCTGCAGCACCTGGGCGCCAGTGTGGACACCGTGGACATGGGGTGGCAGCAGGTGTGCACCCCCCCTAGCCTGCCCTCCAGACGGCCAGGCCTGCCCTGGAGGTGGCTACAGAACACCCCCCACTGCAGGCCGAGTGAAGATGAGCCCCCTGAGCCCTTGAGCCTGTTATGTCGGGTTTGGTCCTGTCAGGACTGGGGCTGGGGCCCAGCAAGAATGGGCAGAGGTCCTTGGGGCTTACTGCAGAAAACAGTCTCCCTCACACTCACACATTCTCACACTCGCTCTCACACGTTCGGCCAGGCCACCTCCCTCCCGTGGGGCCTCCCTGGAACGCAGATGCTCCTTCCTGGGGGAGCCCGTCTTCCACATGCCTGGCTCCAGCTGGCTGGGCCTGGGCTAACCGAGGCTGACCTGGCCACACGTCTCGGAGATGGTCCTGCGAGCTGTCTGTGTGCCTTCAAGAGACGGCCTCGTGGTGCCCGTTTAGGAGCTGGACAGGCAATGCCAGAGGACCGTGTGGGCGCTACTGGCCCCGGGCAGAAGCAGCACCCAGGGTCACGCCTTCGAACTTCCCTCCCGCAGCTGCCCGACGGCCAGACGCTGCCGATACCACCCATCATCCTGGCCGAACTGGGCAACGATCCGGGGAAGGCCACCGTGTGCTTCTATGGCCACCTGGACGTGCAGCCCGCCAGGCTGGAGGACGGGTGGCTCACCGACCCCTACACGCTGACGGAGCAAGACGGTCAGTGCCCGGCAGGCAGCGCGCAGGGCTGGGGGTTTTATTTTATATATTTTTTTAGTATTTGTTTATTTATGCATATAAGAGATGGGGTGCAGGCCAGAGGGGTGGGGGTGAGAGGATTCACCAGAGACAGAGTGGGGAGCAGAACAAGTGGCTCTACTGAAATCCACTGCTGATGGGAGCAGCGGGGAGACAGGAGAGGTCTGCTGCACCCTGGGGGTAGCTCCCTGGCTGGGGGAATGAACTCGTGCTGTGGTGGCTGGCGATAGCTTCAGAGTGCTGAGACTTAACCCCTTGCACCACCAGGGAGGCCCCCACTGGGGAATTTTAGACGTGGCCTCTGTCCTGGCTGCAGGCCTTGGCCGGACGCCTCAGTCACGCGGGACGGAGCACAGATGCCGCCGCCAGCATCACTGAATTGTTTCGTGAGCTGAGTTTTCTTCCCGCACGGCAGGGGCTCCGTGCCCCTGGGTGAATGAAGCCCAACCTGGAGCTCTCGGCTGTGCGGGAGATAGTTGTGCAGGTCATGCGTGAGGCCAAGTGTAATGAAGGTTTACGGAGGGAGTAGTCACGCCACAGGGACGTGACTTTCAGACCCACTTAGTTATGGGACTAGACGCTGCTCACACCAGCACCGTTCTGCTCGGCGTCCGAGCAAGGCCCGTGCCTGGAAAGCAGTCCGTCGGGATGGTGGGCCACAGCGGCGACTGGTTCTCGCTCACTCACCCTGCAAGAGTTGTCCATGGGTTGCTGAAAATTCTTCCCCCACGTTTAAAGGAAAGCTTTACGGACGAGGAACGACAGACAACAAAGGTCCCGTGCTAGCGTGGCTTAACGCCGTGAGCGCCTTCCGAGCGCTGGAGCAGGTGGGTGACGGCCGGGCCTGGGAGACAGGGGGGTGGCGACGGCGCTGATGACTGTGGTGACGGTGGCGTTGGCGGCGGCCCTGGTGAGGAAGGCAGGGGGCTCCGGCTCCCCGCTCTGCTCCAGGCTTTCAACGGCCCTTTTCTCTTGCTCACACCCTGCGGACAGGCTGTGGCCACGCTCCTCCGACCCGCGAGCGGAGTGGGCGCCGGAAGGCTGGGCAGCTGCTCAAGGCTCGGTGGGCTGGGGCGGGGGCGGCTCCTGGAGCCTGAGCTTTGATCACATTTGAAAACAAAACAGCAGGATCCACAGCGAGCCTGTGAACACGCAGCTCTCTGTCGCTGGGCCTTGTCTTCTTCTTTTTTAATCTTTATGTTGCCTCCTTAGATTGTCTGTTGTCTCTGTCCCTCGTTCTAAGCATAGTTTTGTTAATAGACACGCAGCCTTTGAAGAATATTAGTCACTCTGAAAACCTCGTGGAGAGGTATCTCCGGCACGGGACGTTTTGGCTGAATCTTAAAATTTCTTTTCGTTCTTGCGAGAAGTCGTTTTCTCTCCGTGTCCAAGCAGGGGCCTGCGAGGAAAAGGAGGGTGTGCTGTTTGGGGCCTCTCGTCTTTGGGCCGCCAGAGGGCGGCGTTGGCGGGCCCAGGTCTGCGCGGTCAGCAGGGAGGTCCAGCCGGCAGCCCGCGGCTCCTCTCACCCCGCTGCCCTCCCAGAAAGGGTGGGATTAGACCCCACGCGGAAGACTGGATCCCTCTGCGCTTCAGATTCTCTTCTGTAAAAACGAGGGTGGGCATTTGGGGTGTGGGCTCCTGACACTGAGTTTATTTGGGGGTGTGCTTTGTTTTCATTCAGACACGACCTCTCAGGGAGCCGGAGACGGAAGCCTGGCCTTGTCTGCAGCTCCTGCACCCGCCCCTCCCACACCCCCACACTTTCCTGAGCCACAGCTTTCCTGAGCCAGAGCTGTGCTCCACCGTCCTCCCTCCCTCTTCTTCCCGGCCTCCTGCTCCTCTTCTGTCCTGCTCCCCAAGTGCTCAGCCCCGCATGGCCTCCTGGTCTGTTTTCCCAGAGGCGGAGCAGGTGCTGAGCCCCACCTCTGTCCAGAGGTGACTGGAGAAGGCACAGCTTGTCTCAGCCCCCGGGGCCAGGGACAGAGCAGAGACCACAGCCCAGGTCTGCCAGGCCTCTGGGCCAGCTCCTCCTCCAGCACCTTCCTATGGCTGGTTTGTGTTTCATTAATCTTTATTTGCCAGAAAATTCTTAGGCTGTCCCACTCCTTATCAGCAATTTGCTGGTTAAAGGCTTAAACAAAGAGCTTTTAGGATTCGGATTTCAGACCTTTGGTTCAACTTCCTAAGACCCGCAGAAGTAAGTGCAGGTGACACATTTGAACAAATGATTGTCCCAACCTGCCCTTAACCAACCGAGTGACCGCAGGCGACTCACTTTCTCGGGCACAGTCCTCCGCTCCCCCCACCCTGCTGGTCCCGCTGTGGCTGCTGCTGTGATTGCCCTGCAGCAATCGCTTTCACATTTGTGCCCCCCAGACTCTGACCCGCCTCTTCACGTGGCTCCAAAGAGATGAAAAAAGATCAAAACCAAGTGGGGAAAAGGCACAAGGTGAGATTCCAAAGGGCCCTCTGGGCCTCAGCTGGGGCGAGAACAACCTCTGCTCCATTTTGCTTCGAGATCAAAGCCTTTGCACACGCTGAGCCAGGCTGAGCTCCTGGCTGAAAAAGAACAGACGCTTGAAATAAAAATTATCCCACGGCTTAGACACTAGACAGTGTTTCAAAGGACGGAGCTCTCATTTTGCGTGCCCGGAATTAGCAGGACAGGAGAGAGGTTTGTAATGAGTAACCGTCCTTGGAGAATTCCTTTGGGGGTGAGGAGGCAGGAGTCACTCTGCGTGTGAGTGTTGTTTTCCATTAGGGGGTGCCCTCCCCCAGCCCTGCACTGTCAACATTACGTTGTGCGTCGTGCTGGCGTGGAGACTCCGAGGGAGGCCCTGGATGCTCCGTCAGCATCTCAGCCTTTGCCGTGGACAGAACTGCTGGGCACATGAATTGTCCACGCACTGGCCGTCTCTAATCAGCCCACGTGTCTGTGCCCTGCAAACTGCCCGCATCCTCCAGGGCGAGCAGGCGAGCGGGCCCTGCCAGGCCGTCGGCTCCCGCCTCCGTTTGTTCCTGCAGGATCTCCCCGTGAACATCAAGCTCGTCATCGAAGGGATGGAGGAAGCTGGCTCTGTTGGCCTGGAGGAACTGGTCAAAAGGGAAAAGGACCGGTTCTTCTCTGGCGTAGACTACGTTGTGATCTCCGACAACCTGTGGCTCAGCGAGAAGCCGGCGCTCACCTACGGGACTCGAGGGAACAGCTACTTCATGGTGGAGGTACCCCCCGCAGAGGCTGGGCGTGTCTGTTCTGGGTCTCTGTGTGTGTGTGTGTGTGTGTGTGTGTGTGTGTGTGTGTGTGTGTGTAGAATAACTGGGGTGCAGGTCTGAAATGCTGGGGGTGAGGGGATTCCCCAGAGACACAGCGGGGAGCAGAACAGGCAGATCTACTGAAATCCGCTGCTGAGGGGAGCAGCGGGGAGACAGGAGAGGTCTGCTGCGCCATGTGGGTTGTCCCCTGGCCAGGGATCAAACTCAGGCCGTGGTGGTGACAGCCTGAGACACGACCCCTAGGCCACCAGGGAGGCCCCCATTGTGGATCCTTGGCAGAGAGAGCCCTGGTGCAAGCAGGTCTCTCCCCAGGGCGGGAGGGCAGGCTCGGAGGGAGGCTTTAGGAAGAACTGAGAGCAGCTGAGGTGCTCTGGGGGGAAAGGGGTGTCTGTAAGAACAGGGCTCCAAGGAGGAGTGAGGGACAAAGTCTTGAACTAAGGGGAGGGACTGGCCTCTTTTGCAGGGACTCAGTGGCCGCAGACACGAGGGCACCCGCCTGGGGTCCTTGCCATGAGCAGGAAGTGAGTGTGTCCGCAGGAAGTGGCTGTGTGAAGGGCGTCTGAGGGGGCGGGTGAGGGTGGGCTGGGGTAGGAAGGGTCAGGGTCAGGCTGCATGAGGGGTGCGGCCGCCCCTGCTCGGGCTGGGGATTTTCTGCAGCTGTGCTCACGTGGGAGGGTTGATCCAGAGTGAGGTTGTTCCAGGTGGGGAGACAGAAGTCAGGAGAAGCAGCTCGTGCTGGCCACGGAGAGGTCAGAGCAGTGACCGTGGACGACCCTGGGTGGGGAGGAAGAAGCAGGAGGCCATCCCGGGCATCTTGGAGGGGCCAGGCCAGGAGGAGAGCGAGGGCAGCAGCTGAGATGGGTGGGTGCAGCTTCTGATGCGGGAGCCTAAGGTCTTGGGGCCAGGATGCTGCAAACTCCAGAGCACATTCGTGTGACTGCCCAGTGCAAGGTCTCCGCCCAGGGCAGGGTCCTCGCTCCAGCGACCACAGGGGCCCGGGGCTGTACTTTCAAGGTGAACTGGACAGGGCAGGACCTGCGGGGCAGAGGAGGGCAGGAGTGAGTCAGAGAGGCTCACCGGCTTCAACTCTCATTAGAAACCGGTGTCGCCCTGGCTGCGGGCTCAGAGCCAAGACGAGCCGAGGGCTGGGCTGCCCAGGGCTGCTCTCCCCTGCTTGGGCCTGGGCCAGCCGGAGAAGCACCTGCTATACCTGCTGCATCTCAGAGCTGGCAGTGCCCGAGACCCAAGCGTCTGCTCCTTGAACAAGCCAGATCCCTAGGTCAGGTGTGCCGTGGGCGTCGGCGTGAGCAGACGTGGAGGCCACAGTGAGGCACCTGAAGCTGCAGGGGAGGGAGACCCCAGGGACTTGTGGAGGGGGGCACCTAGCACTGTCCTGGGGTGAGGAAAGAAGAGAGGAGAAAGCTTCGCAGACGCGCAGGGGAGGACTTTCAAGGAGGAGGGATGAGCAGCGGGAGGAGGGAAGCTAACAGGGCGAGGGGCTGCTGTCCTGGACGGGCCTGTGCTCTTGGCCGGCTGGAGGGGGACAGTGGTTCTGGGGGAGCTGAAAGCAGACTTGGGAGGCCAGGTGACAGGAGAGGCGGGGCAGTGCCAGGCCACCCCCTGAATCTGAGGCTCCTCTGGCCTCGGACAGTCTTCCACCAGGGGGATCCCCCAGAGAGCAGGCTCAGGCAAGCACCTGCCATCACTGCTACCTGCCTTCCAGGTGAAATGCCGAGATCAAGACTTTCACTCGGGAACCTACGGCGGAATCCTCCACGAGCCAATGGCTGACTTGGTTGCTCTCCTGGGTAATGTCTTATGTGTCCTCACACTGACTACTTGGCATCAGTTATAGCTTTAAAATCAGTTCATGGTACAAAAGGTGGAGGTGAGAGCCTGGATTACTGTAAAGCGGGCGAGTCGGACCATTTTAATTTATTGCACAGCCACAGCAGGGCAGGTGTTACCCGGCTGAGCCAGCCCTCCGCCCGGCTCCTTCCTCGGAGCAGCACCTCTGGGTGTGGCTCTGCCATGGGCCCTGGCCACTCACCCCACCCCCGGCGGCCCTCCCAGTGCTGCCCAGGGCCAGAGCAGCGTGGCAACTGCCCCCCTTGCTCCCCGTGCCTGCAGGCAGCCTTGTGGACTCGTCGGGTCACATCCTCATCCCTGGGATCTATGATCAAGTGGCTCCCGTCACAGATGAGGAAAGAGAAATGTATGAGGCCATCGATTTGGACCTGGAAGAATACCGGAACAGCAGCCAGGTCAAGAAATTTCTGTTTGACACCAAGGTATGGGCCCGCTGGTGGCGGTCTGAGAGGAGGCCCAGGGGGGTGTCCTCCCCAGCCCCCGCCCCCTGCTGCAAAGCCCACATCAGCACGGGCGCAGGCGAGAACCCCCGGCAGTGGCCACTCCACGGCCACCTCCTGCAGCCTAGACCCACCAGTCCCATTTCCGGGGTCCCGCTGGCAGTGGCCCTGGGCACCCAACCCGGAGTGCTGGCTCCCCCCACAGCCGTGTGCCCCAACTGTGCCCTGGCTCGCCCCCATGCCCCCTCAGCCAGGAGTGCCCTGTCTGTTCAAAGGTAGAGCGCGGTCGAGGCTGGTCTGTCTCCAAGACCAAAGGGACGGTTTTCTAGACAAAACCAAGAGTCTTGGGGCAGCTCTCCGTCCCCCGTCACTGTCTCAGCGTCTAGCCAGTGCCCGGCGGTCCCTCCGGGCACCTTGCCCTCCCTCTCCCCTCCTCCTCTTTGCAGCACGTACCTGCTGAGGTCTGGCAGCTGCTGCTGGTGGGGGGAACCAGGCTGCACAGAAGCGGGGGCGCGTCTGTCTTCTACAGATTAGCTGCACAGGCTCAGAGCAAGAGAGGAGACCGGCCCCACATCTGGGGCGTGCTCTGGAGCTTTCTGAACAGTGAAGCAGTGCAGGTGTTATCGGGCCAGGGCTGGGCATGGGCGTTTGTATCGAAGCCAGTTTCTGAAAAGCCCGGCCATCTACTCTGCAGATAGAGCACCGGCGGCCGCAGGCAGGTGCTGGGGTGCAGGCTGTCGCCCAAGGCTGATCCTCCTGTGCCGTCAGTCCAGACACGGCTAAGTAGGCTGACAGGGACGTGCCGTGCGTGGTGTCACAGACCTGCGGAAATTGGTGATTTGACTTAATTGCAATTAAACATTCTTTGGATTCTTTGATCTTAATTTAGGAGGAAATTCTGATGCACCTGTGGAGGTACCCCTCTCTTTCTATTCATGGGATCGAGGGCGCATTTGATGAGCCAGGAGCAAAGACAGTCATACCTGGCCGGGTCATAGGAAAGTTCTCGATCCGTCTGGTCCCTCACATGAACATCTCGGTGGTGGAAAAACAGGTAACATATGTGTGTGGCTCTGTTACAGGGCAGGGAGAGGGGCACCCCAGAACCCCCAAATATGCCTGCTCTAAATAGGTTCTGCCATTTGTCACATTAAGACAAAACATAGAGACCTTTAATGGAAAGGAACTTTAATACAATTAGCGTGCAATACAGAAAAGACAAAGAATACAGTTTTCAAATCAAGCACCCGGAGTTACCCGTCCCCTCGTAGGTAAAAGTCCACCCAAGCGGGACTTGCCCAGAGCAAGGCCCGGAGGCTGCCACAGTTTAAAGCACCTTCTGGCACCACAGAAAAGGGTCAGAAACAGCCAGACAAGTCTGGGAGGAAAAGAGCAAAATCAAGATCAACGCTGCCCCTGTTCCTTCCCCACGGGGCTCACCCACGTCTCTGTCACCCAGTCCAGGACCGAGGAGCAAGCACAGCTTCTTCACGTGTCCCTTTGCTCCATGGGCCTCCTCCAGGGCTCCTTCCGGCTCCATCCTGCTCCTTCCTTCCCCAGTCTCCTCTCCAGCTTCTCCTCCTCCCTGCTCAGCTCCACCCTCCCTTGGGTGGGGCAGGGAACCTGGAACCTCCCCTTTTCCTGGGGGCCCTCCTGTTACAGTTCTGCCTCCAGGCAGCCCTGCGCCCTCACGACAGTTCAGCCAGGGCGGTGAGGCCACACGAGCTCCTTCCCCCAAAATACAGAAGGGACTGAGCAAGTGTCAGGAGACCAGGACAGTGTTTGTTCCATAAAAATCTCTTTCCTCGACTATATGCAGCTACAGCAGTCAGATAAGTAACCATTTGGAGTTGGAGTGATGAGAAATTAAAAAAATATTAAATAGTAGCTAGAAAGGCGAGAACAGTTTTATGCACAGATGGGGGCGCTAAGGCCGGCCCTTGGATGGAGCCTGAAAATCTGAAGCCCCAGGGGTAGTTTCTCTTGCGGTCTGACAACCCCCCCCCCACAGCAGCCGCTCTAACGGGCTTGTTATCTGGAAGGAGCCGTGTGTCTAGATGATCAGCCCGCCGCAGTTTACCTCCAGCTTCACAGAAAGCAGAATAATTAAACTGCAGGAACACCCCCTCCAACCATCTAGCCACCTCCATTGTCTTCCCAGCACTGATTGCAGGCTGAAGACCCCCTCCCTGCGCCTCCCCTGCCCTCTGCTCTCTCTACCGCTCCCCCTGCCATTTTTTCACCTTCCTCGCTCTCTGCCTCCTCCCGCCCCTTCCCGCCCCCACTCCTGGAAGCCCTGTTGCTCTTTCTCACATCCCAGAGGGCAGGGCCTGCCCAGCCCCAGCAGCTGGACCAGCCTGGACGCGGGGCAGGCGTTCCGAGGGTTTTGTTGCGGGATGAGGGGGAGGAGACACCTCAGAGGACAAGTGTCCACGGCAGGAATTCAGAGCAGGCACTGGACAGGGCCGGAGCAGTAGGAGAAGGGACTCCAGCCTCCTTCTCAGCTCAGCTCTGAATCCCTCCCACTTTCTGGAAATTTCCAAAGACTGGATGCTCCTAAGATGACCACTGAGGAACTGATAGCCCCGTGAAGAGGGATACTCGGAGGGAGACGTTCACCTGGGCGGTGTTTTGTAGTGGCCATTCATGATATATTGGCCATCATCTTAGTCAAGCTTTCACAACGAACCAAAGTCTTAAAAGCCAACGGTTGGCAGACACCACACAGTGGTATAATGGGGAGAGAGGACAGGGAGGAGACGGAGCGGCAGGGAGTGAGAGCCATGGGTCCCCCCTGGGTGGAGCCCTGGCTTCTGCTCCCTGTTGGAGAGACCCCCAAGCGCTCCCCTGCACCAGCCCCCCCATGTCATTTTGCACTTGCAGGGGAAATCATAGCCCTGGAGCTGGCCGGGGTGGGATTTCAATCCCTCTCTAGCTGAAAGACCACTGTGCGCGTGGCCTGAGAGGTGACCTCGAAATCTCCCTTCGCTGAAAATGTTTCTTGCAGGTCAAACAACACCTGGAGCAGATTTTCTCCAAAAGAAACAGTTCCAACCACATGGCGGTTTCCATGACGCTGGGGCTCCACCCGTGGGTGGCGAACGTTAAAGACCACCAGTACCTGGCAGCCAGAAGAGCCATCCAGACAGGTGGGCCTTGAAGCCCTGGGCGGTAGTTCACAGCCCACGGCAGCCGCGGCCGCAGCACCAGCCTGGGCCTCCTCGTGCTCTGCTTCCGGGTGTCCCCTCGCAGGGCTGTTGGCACACGCGCTGCCCACACAGCCTTCCCCAGCCTGGCAGCCTCGAGGGGCAACGTTCCTGGCCGGAGACCTGAACTGGGGGCAGTTGGCTGACAACCTCCCAACTTTATGCTGGAAATGACGCCATCACAGAAAAACAAAGCTTTGCCAGCACGACTGAACTGAGGAGTAGAGGAAATCCTCTGGGTTAAGACGGGAGGAGGAAGCCGGAACGGAGGGGAGAGGGCCCTCCTGGGGATTCCCGTCTGGTCTCCCAGGGTGTTGAGTTTAAGGGCCTCAGGCCAGTGTGAAGCAGTGAGACCCTCTGCATGGGTGGGGGGGGTAGCCTCAGAGCACGCCCACCCAGGAGTGTGTGCGTGAGTGTGTGCGTGCTTGTGCACGAGTGCAGGTGAGCTTGACCTCTCTGCTTGGGTCTGGGTTGACATGAAGTCTCCCTGAGAATCTTCAGCCCTGGGCACACCCTCACCAGGGCGGGGCTTTCCCTGCGAGTGGGCCCGCTCTGCCCTGACTGATGCGGCAGCCCCAGGGCCCGCAGCGGCTGCTCCGGGTCTGCTTTTCCCTCTGGGACCACAGTGGATGTGTCAAGGGCTCCCCTGGGGGCTGAGTGCAGACTTGGGGACATTCAGGTGGCCCCTGAGTACAGCTGGTTATTTGTTGCCTACCAACCCCCCAGCCCCCTCAGATGGTGTTTGCTTCACAAAGCACCCATGGGTGGGGACGTGGTCTTGGGGCGCTCCTGCCAGAAACACAATCCCTTCCCATGGCATCGAGGGACACTTGACAAACTAATCAGTGCCCTTCAAGAGGGGCAAGGTCAGGAAAGACTTGGGGTGCCTGAGAAACCACCAAAGACTAGATGGAGGTCATGGGGGCGATCACAAGCCGGGTGGCGGGACCCAGATAATGTTGTTTTTGAATTTTTATTTTAGTAGTTTGGGGGTTGCATTTTTGCTCCTCCACATGGGCACCTGTTCTCTCACCCTCCACCTAAGCACCCCTGCCAATACCCCGTCTGCCTCTCTCTCCCACCCGCTCCCTCCTGCTCCTTCTGGCAGCCTTCTCCAGCTAATAATATTATCCGATGCCGTTTTCCTAACCGCGGTCTCCTCGCTGCCTCCAAGATGCTGACATCAGGGAAAGGAGAGTAAGGAGTAAATGGGAACCCTCTGTACTATTTTTGCGAGTTTTCTGTAAGTCTAAAACTAGTTCAAAGAATTTTATCTATAAATATTTTTGAAGTAGGCCATTGTAAAGGAGGCAACCACGGTTTGCTTCTGGACCCGCTGGTTATTTTAGAACATACCATTCATGATATCCAGAAGCTGACTTACCTCAGGCCCCGAGTCCTGGTCAAAAAGCAAGCTAAAGCTAAGGTCACGTTTGCGGAGATCGGCGAAGGCGATCCTGCCGCTATTTGATTCCAGTAACTCCTTCCCTGCGTTTCAGTGTTTGGATCAGAGCCAGACATGATCCGGGACGGATCCACCATCCCAATTGCCAAAACCTTCCAGGACGTCATCCAGAAGAGTGTGATGATGCTCCCCCTGGGCGCGGTGGATGACGGCGAGCACTCCCAGAGGGAGAAGATGAATAGGTCAGCTGAGGGCAGGCTCTAGCCCCGGGTGTCCCTGGTGGCGCCGACTGACCTCGAGCTCTCCACTGAGTTTACATCCGCTTCCGTGGGGTTGTGCTTCCCCGCCCGGCGTGGCAATGACGTTCCCTTTGTTTTCCCTTTTGTCAGGTGGAACTACATAGAGGGATCCAAAGTGTTTGCTGCCTTCTTCCTCGAGCTGGCTAAGCTGCACGGGGAACGCCAGGGACCCGCAGCTTAGCTCTGGCCCTCTGCGGAGCCCCTCTTCCACCGAACCCCAGCACCCCGCCTTGCCCGCGAGATAATTTCTCCTTCCCACCGGAGATGATCTTTAAACATCAGGACATCAATCGAGTATTTCAAGGCACTCCCTAAAGCCACCGTCCCTTCGACCGCTTGATGCCCCCGATTCCTACACCTGCAGCCCCGGGACTGACTGCAGCCCGGAGGGAGGAGGGGGGACCTCCAGGGACGGCCCGGCCCTGCAGCGGGGTGGGCCCTGCAGCGTCCCACCTGCCCCCTGCGCGCGCCCCCAGGCTGGAGCGCCCTTGCTTATTAATAAAAATGTCGTCTGTCCCACCGCGCCCCAGAGTGGCCCCTGGGTCGTTGTCAGAGGCGCTCCTTCAGCCCACACCAACGTAACCTCTGCCCTTGCTTGGTTTTCCCTGCTTCTTTAAAAGCTCTGACGTGGGAAATGAGCGATACTCGCATCCTGCTTCTTGGCGTTTCCGAGCAAAGATTTGTTTTTCACTCCAAGCCTCTTTATCTTTGGGGTGTTGGCGCCCAATGGGCCAGCCCCTCCCATGTCCTGCCCCACCAGGGAAGACCCCCTCTCCGGCCCCTGTGAGCATGCAGCCCCGGCTGCCAGTCCCGGTGGGCATCTCACTGGGGCTGCGTCCAGACTGCGCCAAGCTTTTCCCGCCTGGAAAAAAGGGCTGCTCGGCCCGGCCAGCAGCCGCACCCTCTAAATCTACAGCGTCGGCTGAGGCGGCCTTCACCAATCCTTTAAAACCATCTCATTGGGCTTGATTGGATTTAATGGTGTAACCTCGCGCACCGAAGAATGTAATTTTTTACAGCTGAGTGTGTGCAAACACTCAGTTCACTCTGTTCGTTATTTAAATCGCATTCGTGGAGAAGAGTTTACGGGTTTATTGGAACGTGTCCCTCATGCGCCACGTGGAAGCTAGACGTGCACGCTTTCTTGGAGGTGGGCGTGGCGACTTGCTGTGCCAAAGGCGATGTGGCTGGACCTAGGACCAGAGACCCGAGGGTCTGGCCCCCGGGCAGCAGCCTGGCGGGCATCCTCCAAGGATCGTCCTCTGGCGCCGGGCGCGGCTGGCCCTGTGCTCATCAGCATGGTCCGTGCTCAGTGACGCCGCTGCACCTGGTGATGCTTCCGTGGGACCTACCTGCTGGATTGGGCGAAACATGCAAGATATTTGTGATTTATGTTTTTTATTTTTTTAAAGATTTATTTACGCATACAAGAACTGGGGTACAGGCCAGAGGTGTGGGGGGTGAGAGGATTCACCAGAGTGGGGAGAACAGACAGACTGACTGAAATCCACTGCTGAGGGGAGCAGCGGGGAGACAGGAGAGGTCTGCTGCACCCGGTGGGTAGCTCCCTGCCCGGGGATCGAACTCAGGCTGCAGTGGCTGTGGACAGCTTCATAGTGCTGCGTCCTAACCCCTTATGCCACCAGGGAGGCCCCCAATTTATGTTTTTTAAAGAGTGTTCGTGTTAGTCAAGGAAGCGAAGCTGGTTGTATGGTACCCCCTGCGTAAGCAGCCGGAGCCCCACGGTCACTAAGTGACAACAGACACTCGGGCTCTCTGTTTCTGCGGCTTCTCAGGGGCTGCTGGGCCAGAAGCGTCAAGGGGGCAGGAGCCTCCATCTTCCATCCCCACAGGCAGGGTCCAGGTGTGGTTTTCTGCCCCCGGGGACAGGAGGGGCCCCAGTTCCCATCCCCTCTGGATTTTCTACCGGTCTGAGCCCTGTGCAGGGGAGCCAGGAAGGAAACATAAACCTCAAACAAATATGTGCAAAGGGAGAAAAATGACCTCTGGGCACTTGTTGGGGCTCCTGTGTCCCCCATCAGAGGGCACCTCATCACGTTGGAGGAGGCAAGGGTCAGGCCCTGGAGACGAAGGTCACTTGGATTTGGGAGAAGCTGTGATGGACAGTGTAGGGGCAGGACAGGACACAGGGCAGGTTTTCTAGGATCCAGCAGACCGGGTAAAGGAGGAGTCAGAGCCCTCAGTGGCTTTTTGCAGGCTTTTATTGGGGTTTACCCGGTACGCAGCAGGCAGGGGTGCTGGGGGGCCGGGAGGCTGGCAGGAAATCCTCACTCTATCTGGGCTCTCCGGTGATCTCTGCTTCTGCTTCTTTGCTTCTCTTTCGGCTTCTACTGGCGTCCCCGAGACGCCGCCCTTGAAAGCCCAGTCTCAGCCCAGGGAATCCCATCTCCCTAGGCCCACACCCCGCTCCAGGTGCCGCCCTCAGGCATGCACTCAGGACTGCAAGGATCATCTATCCTGACGGCGAGGGCAGAAAAGCCTGACATTTTTCCTTGCCCTACAGACAGTAACACGGACTGGGGTGTGTGGGCTTTGCATCCCGTCGGTAGAGGTCACGAGCACCGGCCTCGAAAGCTGTGTGTGCACGGGCAGCCGGGCAGCCCTTTCTCCCCCGGCCTTCGGCTGAGGCCCAGCAGCCCAGTGGAGTCCCCTCTCTGTCCTCTGCCTGCTCCTCCAGTCTCCTTCTGCCCCAGTGAATCCCAGCGAACCCCAGCAACTCCTCCCTAGTCCTCCCAACTGCTTGCCTGCCCCTGGGCCTTCTCCGGCCTCCAGCCCGGAGACACACACCCTCCCCCTTCTTGGTCTGGCCAGCCGCTGCCCATCATTCTTCAGGTCTCAGCCTCTGTGCTTGTCCGGGGAAGCCGTTTCTGCTTCCCGGCGAGGTCTCCCGATCACACACATCAGTCTCCCCAGCTGCGCTGTCCCTTTGGTGATCTCTAGACTTAAGTACATATTTGTACTATTGAGAAACTGCCCCCCGCCCCCCACCCCGGCCCGGCCCAGCCCATAAGCTCCCTGAGGGCGGAGTCCACGTCTGTTTTGTTTACTGTGGTTCCAAAGTTCTGGGTGGTAAAGGACAGATGACTGAAGATGTCAGCACTGAATGGTCGGTCTGTCTGCGCTGCTTGTACCCCGTGAGGCACCAGGTCCTCCTCCCCAAGTAGATGTTAAGCCCATGAGGTCAGCTTTCCAAAAACCCTTGTACTTTGGGGGTCCAGCGAGGTGCGCTGCCCACAGGAGGTGCTCACACTGACCCCCAGACCTTCCTCCTAACTGTGCAGCTGCAGTGTTGGGGGGTCTCCACTAGGCCTCCAAACAAAAGAATGAGCAAACCATATAAAACAAAAGAAAAAACTCAGAGGTGCAGAGAGCAGATGGTGGTTACAGAGGGCTGGGGTGAAGAGGGGACAGGCCAGAGTTTGGGTAGTGACCCCAGTGTCATGTAGTCAGATGATGGATGTAAAAGTGAATACCCGAGGCCTCCCTGGTGACCTAGGGGTTAAGTCTCCGCGCTATCACCTCTGCAGCATGAGTTTGATCCCCAGCCAGGGAGCTGACCCACCTAAGGCGCAGCAGACCTCTCCTGTCTCGCCTGCTGCTCCCCTCAGCAGTGGATTTCAGTCAATCCACCTGTTCTGCTCCCCGCTCTGTCTCTCACCGGTGAATCCTCTCACACCTCTGGCCTATACCCTAGCTCTTCTACAGCAAAATTAAAAAAAGAAAAAGTGAACACCCAAAACTTATATAACCAAATTATCTCATTAAAAAAAAATAGAAAAACAAGCCCTCAACCAAACACCATTTTATGATAGGACCAAATACCTTTTAAATACCTGTGCTATTTTAAATGCTTAGTTTTACATATATTCCTTGTCAGGCCTCCTGGTGGTGCAGTGCTTGAGCGCTGGGCTGCGAAGCTGCAGCCAGTTCGATCTGTAGCACCAGTTCGATCCCCGGCCAGCCAGCGAAGTTCCCACATGGCCACGCCCGCTGCTCCCCGCTGTATTTCATCAGTCTGTCTATTCTGTTCCCCGCTCCAGCTCTGGTGAATTCTCTCACCCTCCTGCGCTTCTGACTGTACCCAGTGCTTGCATAAATAATAATAAAATTTTTTTTTAAATTAAAAAAAATTAAAAACATATATTCCTTGTCATCTAGCAATTATTTTTAATGTTATTCAATGCAAGTTTCAATATTAATGAACATGTGATAGCTTAAGAGTCAAATAATGATTTGAGGTCTTTTTTTTTTTTTTAAAGATTTATTTATACAAGCACTGGGTACAGTGAGAAGCACGGGGGGGTGAGAGAATTCACCAGAGTCAGAGTGAGAGCAGAACATGCAGAGTGACCAAATACACTGCTGAGGGGAGCAGCGGGCGGCAGGAGAGGTCTGCGCGCCATGTGGGACCCTCGCCCGGCAGCCGGGGATCGAACCGACCGGGGAGGCCCTGGTTTGAGGTCTTACACAGATGAAATGACATGTCTGTTTCTGATGATGTGCTTCTGGTTCGATGTAGCAGGGTTCGGTTACCTGCGTATCTGCAACCTAGGGACATATATTTCTATCTGCCTGCCTGCCTGTCATTGCCTTTCGTGACAAGCCATAAAACTTAAACCCAGGTCTAACGCTTGCACACATTCCTTCTGTTCGTCCACTGAGCTCCTTAACATCTGTACTCTACTTTGTAGGCATTTCCCAAGGAAGCAAGAGACTCTTCCCTCTACAGCATGAAAAGCATGCTCTTCCTAGACAGCAAGCTCCTGGCGCCAAGGTGGGGGACATCCTGGGCTTGGCGCCACTCTGCAAAGGCCCACTTGATGTGCTATAGAGAAATGGGATTTTTTGAAGCAAAGCGCTGTGTTCCTTTTTCCTAGTGTGAAGCGGTGGGGAGCAAGTGGTAGGTGTGATGACTATAATTTCTTAGCAGTTGGGATAAGTAAATAATGCTTCTGCGCTTCTTCAGTCTGGGCAACTTGAAGAGAAAAAAACTGTCATTATGTGGAAAAATTTTATTTAAAAACATTACTCTAGTGTAATTTCCTATTCAGAATGAAAATGATGTCAGAAAAATTATGCCTCTGACTATAATAGAAAATATGAAGTTATAAATCATCTTGCCTCCCACACTAAAATTCGCCAAAACAGCATTCCAAGGGAACTCAGAGTTAAAATTCTAGTGTGGGTGGTTTCGTGTTCATAGCATATTCTCACTGTTTTTGTAGGCAGGCATTTGAAAGTAATGACAGAAAATGTTAAAAAAAAAAGAATTTTAAATGACACTGTGAAGTTAGTCATTAAACATATTTAGTCACTAAAAATGACCAATGCTACCTTCCAAATTTTATGTAATTTTAATTTTTTAAAAGATTTATTTATGCATACAAGAACTGGGGTACAGGCCAGAGCTGTGGGGGGGTGAGAGGATCCACCAGAGACAGAGTGGGGAACAGAACAGGCAGATCCACTGAAATCCACTGCGGAGGGGAGCAGTGGGCGAGGCAGGAGAGGTCTGCTGTGCCATGTGGGTAGCTCCCTGGCTGGGGATAGAACTCATGCTGTAGTGATTGCGGACAGCTTCATAGGTTGCGTCTTAACCCCTTGCACCACCAGGGAGGCCCTTATGTAATTTTAAATAAAAGAAATGACCTAATTTTATATAAAATCCTCCTTGTGTTGAACCAGAAGGCAGAGATCATGGCTCGAAATTCCATTAGTTTTCTCTGGCCCAAAGGTAAGGGCTCGCACTCCCTGTCTCCCCTTCTGAAGCTCCTGATGGGCCACGCTGACTGGTGAGAGGGCCTGAGTAACACACGCGCTGAGGACACCCCAATACATCTACATGCCGGAATTGACATTTGAATAGCAAACCTGTGCAATTTTCTCGGTTAATTAGCGGCAAAGACAGAACTATATTCTAACCCAGGTCTTCTTATTCTGTGCAAAGGATTTGAGGGCCATCCTCAAATCAGTGGTACTCCCACTCCCAACTTTGGTGCTACAGAAACATCTACAAGGACAGATCATTGCATGTGAAAATAGAAAGTAGAAAGTTATCCATGAGTCAGAAAAAAGTACTCATCTCTCGGCACAGCCTAACATGGTGGCAGGGGAGGTTTTAGTTCAAAGCGTGAGGATCATCAGGGCTTTGAGCAAATCTGTCCACAGCGTGCGGGACCATCAGTCAATGCACAGCGTGCACTGAGCACACTGGGTGGGAAACCACTTCAGAGCAAAGCAGTGAGAATGAGCGCCAGCGTGTTCCAGCGCTCGAGCCCACCAATGGACGGATGGCAGCTGGAGCGGGCAAGACCCTAGGGCTCCACGATGCTCCAGAAGCACCTGCAAGAGCAAATGCACGTCGGTCCAGAGAAGTTCCTCGGCCTCCCCGTTCCTGGGGTCTCCATGCCTGCACATGTTGGACAGGAGCTGGAGAAGCAGCTGAGCACTCTTGCTTTATAGAAACCTAATATACAAGCACATTCTGTGGTGACGAGGTGTGGGAAGTCAGGCTTTCTGAAGAGAGCCCCGGGTCTTAGACGTCTTGCTTTTGTCCCTAAAAGGCCCCTGGGTAAAAATACAAAGAGCAGAAATCTTGATTTTGGAAACCAAACCCAGTGTAGGCAGTTCTTCTGCTTAACCATCCTAAAACCAAGCACTCTTCTTGAAGAGGCTACCCACTGTCCAGGCTAAGAGCCACAACTTGCCACTGAATTTGCGCTTGATTTATACAAGCAGAAAATGAACACTATGGTACGTTTTTGACGCAGCCTCCTGATAATGTTCAAGTCCACAATCCAGTCAGTCAGACTTTCATTATCATCTGCGTTGTGAACGAAGCAATTCTGAGTACTCAAGTTTCCAGTAAGATCTGAGGAAGTTTCAACTGAACACTTCAACAAGGGAATCTAGTTTTATTTATCTTTCATTCAACAGGCACCCAATAAATGCTGGTTTATAGAATAAATACAGCATCGATAGGGTGGTCTCTTACTCTGAGGAAATTGTTCTCCTTTTCTTTTTATAGAACATTTAAGTCAACCTGGTAGAGTTGAAGGCTGAAATCTCCTTTTACTAGCTGCGTGATCACCAAATGGAGCAATTTTCTACTGCAGATGACAGACTTCAACTAGATAACGCCTATGAGTTCTCCACAAAACAGCACTAGAAATACTATCACCTGGATACTCTGTTCTAAAGAGAACTTAAATGGGGTAAGTTTTTTTTTTTTTAAGATTTTATGCAGACAAGAACTGGGGTACAGGCCAGAGGTGTGGGGAGAGGGGTGAGAGGATTCAGTAGAGCCCGAGTGGGGAGCAGAACAGGTGGATTGACTGAAACCCACTGCTGAGACAGGGGAGGTCTGCCGCGCCGTGTGGGTAGCCCCCTGGCCGGGGGCTGGAGACCGCCTGATAGCGCTGAGACGTCACCCCTTGCGCCACCAGGGAGGCCCCTGACCTGGGGTGAGTCTTTGGGGATGGTCCGGTTTGGGGCGCTCGTCCTCGCAATGCCGCCCTTGGACACTCGTCTCCGTCACGTCACCGGGACACCGGGCAGGGCGGGCCTCGCGGATTCCCGGCTCGACCGCGGGGCCGCCGACCCGGCGCGGCGTCCCCGCAGCTGACCCCGGCGGCCGTCGCGGCCCTTCCCGAGGGGCGCTCCTGCCTCGGTTCTGGGCGTCCCCCAAGACCGGGGGGGGCCGCGGCCTCGGCGCCCCCTCTTCCCAGGGGCGCGCGTCGCGCCCTGAGCGCGGAGGAAACAGCCCGCGCGGGGCGTCCCGGGCCCCCGGGCCCCGTCAGCTCTCGCTGCCCTGGGGACGCCCGGCCCCGCCTCGGCCGCCCGGCGGGCGGGTCACCCCGCGGCTCCCTCAGGCCTGCGGGGCCCCTGAGGCGCCCCCGCCGCGTCTGTCGCCCCTGGACGCGCCGGGCCCGGCGGAGCCCCCGCGCCTCGCGATGGGGGGGGCGCGGCGGGCGGGCGGGCGGGCGGGCCGGGCGGGGGCCGGGCGGCCCCCGCAGCCTCGCGCCGGCGCGTCCTCGCCGGGAGCCGGGCTCGCTCCGCGCGCTCCTCCCGCGGCGGGGGCTTCCGGGCGCGGGACTTCCGGCCGCCCAGCCCGCGGGCCCGGGGTCGGAGGCGCCCGGCGGCGGCGCGCGGGGCCGGCCGGGGCTCGCGGGGGCCTCGCCGCGCCCGCCCGCGCCCCTCCGCCGCGCCGAGCCCCGCGCCCGCCGCCCGCGGGCCCCGAGCGGCGGCCGGAAGCCGCGCGGCGCGGCCGGAAGTCCCGCCCCTTCCTCCCGGGGGAAGACGGTGAGCCGGAGGAGCCAGTCGCGGCCCGGGCAGGGCGAGCCCGCCGGCGCGCAGGTGAGTGATCCTCGGGCCGGGCGGGGGGTGCGGGGGCGGGGACCGTCCGGCGTCGGCGCGGGGCCGGGGGGCGGCGGCTTGAGGGCCCGGGCGCGGGCCGCGGGGCGCCGGGAGCCCCGTCCGGGCCCTTCGCTCTTCCTCCTCCCCCCTCCCCCCGCCTCCGCCCCTCCCCGCCCGCCGGGCCCTCCCGACGCCGCCCCGACTCCCGGCCCGCCCGCCGCCCGCCGCCCGCGCGCCCCGCCGCCCGGCCGCTCCCGCCGCCCGCCCGGCCCGGCCCCCCGGCCCGCGCGCCCCCCCCGCCCCCGGCCCCCGCGCCCCCCGCCCCTGCGCCCCCGCGCCCGCCCTGCCGTTGGGGCCGCGGCGCCCGCACGGGGGGCGCGCCCGGGGCCCGGGAGCAGGACGCGGCGCGCCCGCCGCTGGAGCCGGCCCGGCGCTGCCGACCCCCGGGCCGCGCCCGCCCGCCTCGGCGCGCTGGCTCCTGGCCGGGGCGGGCCTCCGGGCGGGGCGGCGTCCCTGCACCCGGGTGCGTCCCGCGCGCGGCGGGCCCCGGGCCGGGGGGCGCCCCGGCTCTCCGGCGGGGCCTGCGGCGGAGGCGCGCCCCGGGCTGCGGACGGAGACGCGAGTTAACGGCGCCCGAGTGGGCTCGGAGCCGGCCCCGAGAGCCTCGGCCCCTCCGGCGCCGCGCCCCGCGCTCCGGCCTGGGGGCGGTGCGGGCCGCGCCGGGGCTGGGGTGCCCGAGGTTTCCCTTCGCGCCGCCTGAGCCGCTGCGGGCACCGCCTGCGGGGACTGCCCGGGGCGGTTGGGGGTGTGCGGAAAAGCCGGAGACGAGGCAGAGCTGCCGCTCCCTGGCCCGAAGCGGGGCGGAGTGGCGCCCCTGGAGCCAGCATCTTCCTGCGGCGCCCCGCTCTGCTGTGGGCGCTGGAGACGGTCTCCCCTGGGCTGCCCACTCCAGTGTCTGCTCCGAGACGGATGCATCAGTAAATGCCGCGCCTCTGTTAAGTGCCAAAATGAAGATAGGGGAGCCCCGGGGAGATCTGCCTGCCCGGGAGATCTTGCAGGATGCAGTGGGGAGCCGGGGCCCCAGGATTCGTGGGTGTTCATTGATGGATGGGCTGTTCCTCCCAACGTTTATTCCAGTTAGGCTTGTTTTATTAGAGGAGGACTCTTAACTGTTGCAAGAAAGTCTCTTAATTTTAATCTTTCCTCTTCCTTTTCCTTTTTCTAAAAAAAAAAAAAAAGATTTATTCATGCATACAAGAACCGGGGTACAGGCCAGAGGCGCCGGAGGTGAGCGGATTCACCAGAGACAGCGGGGAACAGAACAGGCAGACTGAGGAAACACACTGCTGAGGGGAGCAGCGGGCGTGGCAGGAGAGGTCTGCGGGGGCCATGTGGGATTCTCCCTGGCAGGCCGGGATCGAACCGGGGCAGCAGAGGCTGTGGACAGCTTCACACTGCGGCGCTCAACCTCCCCTGCCACCAGGGAGGCCCCTCCCTTTTCCACAAATATCACTGGTTGTGAGAAGCGCACTTTGTAACTCCACTAATAGAATAAATTAAGGTCTGTAACTCTTGATTTACAGTGGCCATGACATCTGCAGCCATAGTTGACGTTGGGTTTTTTAGATATGCATCTGGACCTCACAGAGTTTTCTTTCTTTCCTCCCCAACGCCGACTACTTGTGGAATTTAATTCACGCAAGGAGCATCTATCGCACGCCTGCTTTGTGCCTGCTGTTGTGTTAGGGTGAAATGGAGAACAGGGTGGTGGGGATGTGGGCATGTACCTAGGCATGACAGCACAGTCTAATGTTAGTGCAGGAGTCCATGGGGACATGGTGCCAAGGTGGCAGTTGTGAGTCTTGCTTGGCAGCCGTAGAAATTGCCTCGGACTGACTGATGCAGTAAAGCAGTTTATTTCCTTCAGAACTGATGGGAAGGTTGGAGACCTGGGCTTGAGAAATAGGAAGCATGAGACGCTGGTGGTTGAGGCTGCAGCCAGGCTCGTACCACATAACAACAGTCTGGTTAGGATTCTGCTGCTGGTGATGTCGTCACTGGAGAAACTGCTGCCTTTGTTGCTGGACTGCTGCCACTCCTGCCACTGGGTAAACTAACTTTCTCTGCAGCTTAGCCGCATTTCTCTATCATCTGGAGGTCTGGATGGGAACATGGCGTGGCCCAGCTGCTCTAGTTGGCTGCCCCAGTGGGGACACCGAAGAGCTGTTTTTTTGGCTCATCTCTCTGGAAGCCACACAGCAAAGGATTCCTATAAAATAAGGTGGCTTGAGGTGCAGGTAGCCCTGAAAGTAAAAATACTCGCATAACCACTTACCCCAAACTTGGAGAGATTAGGGGAGACTTCAAGAGGGATGATGCCCAGAGAATGAATAGGACTTAAGGCTGGGCAGAGAGACAGGTGCTCTGGGGAATCATGTTTCAGGTAGAGGATCTCCAAGAGCTAAGGGGTAGGAGGGAACATTTCAGAAATTCAGGTGCTCAGTGTAGCCAGTCAAGAATGAGGAGGTGTGAAAGGTGAAGAGGACCTGTTGGATAAATGGAGCTTGGTGGCGTGAGGCTGTGTTGAAGTGGTGTCAGAGGGGGCAGGAAGCTTCTTTCAGAGGCCGTGGTCGTGGTTCCAGACATCAGGGCGTCTACACCAGAATTGCAGAAGGAAGGTAGAGGGAGGTAAGTGGGTTGTACGTGTTCAGTTACCTCCGTGGCTTGGGCACCGAAGGGGTGAGTGAAGAGGTGAGTTGGAGGTTGCCATTGTTGGGTTGGAGGATGAGCAGGTGTTGTGGTAGATGGTTTCAGGTCGGGCCCCTGTCTGTGGTGATATTCTAGATGATTGTGTAGCTGACTCCTGAGAGTGCAGGAGACTCATCAGCCTCTCATCGCAGCCTCCGCCCCTACACAGGCAGTGGTGTGCGCGTGTGTGTTTACCAGCCCCCTTTGGACTCTGGCAAGAACTTGGCTTTCGTATTTATGATCACAAGTCTGGTGTGGTGTCTTGCACATAGAAGATACTCAACAAATTTATGTGGAATTCAATTCACAGGTTTACGCATAGGGAGTGAAAGTGAGTACAAGCAATTTGGAGGGGAAAGAAAACACAGTTGTAGGGCGTATGAAATTGTGTGAATATGTGTGCATGTGTGTCGTGTGCAGGCCCCTGTGTCTGTGCTTGTCGGCGCGTGCAGCGGTGTCTTCACTTCTGGGTAGCACTGGGGAGGGGCCTTAACTCCGCGGCCTTTTCTGCTCGTGGTGGAAAGAGACTTATTGCCAGTTTCCTCCCGTGGCTGGAGCCCCACCTGTGGCTGCTCTGGCGGCAGGTGCTCGCCGTGGTAGGGAGCTCCTGACTCGAGTGCCGAGCGAGGCCAAGCACCTGGAATGTAACCCCACGTAGGGCTGCGACCGGCAGCTGTGATGCCAGTGTCGGAATGGAAGGGCATTGCCATCTTCCTTAGTGCAAGGAAGTCCGGGCTTCCAGAGTTAGCCCTGGAAGGGGAACATTTAGGGAGGGAAGATGGAGATAGGTGAAATAGTCCCCAGTTGTCGTTTTAGTTTCATTTTTCTCTTTGAGTATTATTGCTTTTATGGTTAGTTTCCGAACGTGGTGTTGTCTCTTCAGTGTCTGTGAGTGCTCCTGAGAAGAGTGTTTCCGGTGTACCGAGGACTGAGTGCCAAGGGACAACAAAAGAAAACAGAATTAATGGAAAGAATAATAGTAATTCTTTTTTTGATTACAACAGAAACACTGGGCCAGGTGCTGAGCACAGTCGCAAATGCCTCCTTGAGATCTGCGCTACAGGTTTATCCTTTCTGCGCAAGGCAGACTTCGGATGGTCCCTCGCGAGGTCACCCGCGCTCGCGTCCTCAGAGCTGGGCCGAGCTCTTAGCAGAGCTTAGCGCTCATTCCCCGGGCACGCAGACCTCTCGGCGTTTCTCCCACGTGCATGCGGGGTGTGAGTTACTGGGCTCCATTTAAGGATGAGCCGAACTCCGTCTCTCCGTGTTGGGAGCCCCTCAGCGTGTCCATCATGGTGAGGTAGGAGGCGGGGGCCAGGGAAGCCCCCCAGCCCCCAGGGATGCCTGCCCTGACCCCCGAGCGGTGTCCAGGTAGCACGGAAGCAGGAGACACACACAGTAAGGTGTGGCCTTACGTAGGGACTGGAGGAGCCGGTGATCGGCTCACGCGTTCGTTCATTTCTTAGTGTTTATTCCAAGGTGGTTCTCACTGGCGCCGGGGCGCTCAGGCTGTCGGGGGGCGGGAGGATGTCATGTGGGAGAGGGGAAAGGAATCCCCTCTCCCCAGCCTGAGTGTTTGTCTGATACTGAAAAACAAATGTGTCCACGAGCGTGTGCACACACGCACACAGACACACACACACACACACACACACACACACTCCAAATATAATTGTACCTCACACTCCCAGGTCTGCTTTCCAGGGACTATTACAATGGACAATTTCTATGTCTCCTTCTAGATTTTTTTTTTTTTTTTTATGTGAACAAAACACATGGCAATGTTATTGTCTTCTCTCCAAGAATCAGCTCTGATGGCAAAGCCCGGACGAGTCAGGCCCAGTGGGCACCACCACAAAGGGGCCTTTTCAGCATCGCGCACTAGAAGAGAAGGAACGTGGGCTGGGGTCCCCGGGAGCTTGCTCCCCGAGGAGCGATACCGCCTGTGTGTGAGGCAGCGAATGCATCGCGGGCCCTGAAACGCCCCGGTGCTGCAGCTAGAGTGACAGTGCCCCCGCTCCTGGCTCCCTGGGAGCTGTGGTGGGCTTCAGGCCTAGCGCTCCTCCGCCAGGCCACGTTCCTGCGCGTGGCTCCTGCCGTTACGGCTGCCAGCTCCTTTTCTCCTTTTCGGTTCTCCTTGCGTGGGTTTGTAGCCTCCTGGAAGCTGCGGCAGGTTCGCTGTGACGGGACAGGAGGCAGCGTGGGGTGTGGGAAACGTCTGCCTTTTGGACTCAGGCCCAGCGCCTGGGCTG